GGAGTAGAACAGGAGTAGGACAGGGGTTGGACAGTAGGACATGGAGTAGGACAGGAGAAGGACAGGGGTTGGACAGGGGTAGGACAGAAGTAGGACGGGTTGGACAGGAGTAGAACAGGAGTAGGACAGGGGTTGGACAGTAGGACATGGAGTAGGACAGGAGAAGGACAGGGGTTGGACAGGAGTAGGACAGGAGTAGAACAGGGGTTGGACAGGAGTAGAACAGGAGTAGGACAGGGGTTGGACAGGAGTAGGACATGGAGTAGGACAGGAGAAGGACAGGGGTTGGACAGGAGTAGGACAGGAGTAGAACAGGGGTTGGACAGGAGTAGGACAGGAGTAAGACATGAGTATGACAGTGGTAGGACATGGAGTTGATAGGATGATGAACATCAGATTTCTAGTTCAGTTTAGTTTTTTCTATGCAATCCTCTCCATTGGAAAAGAATAGTATACATGTAATCCATCAAATGTAACATCACATCTCTGAACAAAACAAGCAACAAGAACAAGTGTATATGGAGTTTGAAATGGTTTATGATCACAAGTCGGATATCATTCTCTTCATATTTTGCAAAAGATCACGTTTATTTTTGGGCGTATCTGAACACAAATATTTTACTGGGTTTATACTTCAATTAGTTTTGAAGAAAAAAAACTGATTGCCTTTTAACTCATCAGCACTCAAAAATTCTAATAAGTCAGAAAATGAGGCACATGAAAAGAATTACAAATTGTAACAACAAAATTGGGACGAACAAGGTATTAACAAAAACTGAAATTGAACAAAACTAAATAAGTATCAACAATAGTATTGAATCACTAGTGTGGAGCTTGTCCGCACATCCCCAGAATGAGATTGTATCTGGTTTTTCAGGATACCAATGTCATTTCCAGCTTCTGAAGCATCCTTTCCTGAACATTTCTGGCAGGAAAAGCTGTCTGCAGCAGGTTGATGGGATTTAGATCTGGCAAGTAGGCTGGGTAATCCATTCATTGAATGATTCTCTTGCGTTCAATACTGCTCAGTCACCCTTATTCTATGTGGCATAGCATTATTGTCCATAAAGTCAGAGCCAATAGCTCCAGCATAAGTTCTGGTAAATGCACGGATTCAATCACAGTCAAGATGACTGTATCAGTACCATGATTTCAGAGACATGGAGGCCAATTCTCACACCACTTGCCACAGCACATCGTCACTAAACCTCTGCCATATCGGTTCCACAGTATTACCTCCCCATGTTAACACCTGGAATCTCTCCCCATGTTGTTACCATACTCTATAAAGCCTCTAATGGTGAAGACAGAATCTGGACTCTCTGTAAAAAGAACTAGTTCCCACTCCTAAACAGCCCCATCTAATTGACAAAGCGGTCTCTAGCATGATCGGCAGTTAAGGGAACTTGTATTGCTGGTATATGTGATCTTAAACCAGCATCATGGAGATTGTTCCTAACTTTCTGAGTGGATACCCAGGTATCAGCAGTAGGAGGTGAAGCTGCGGCAGTTTGGAACCCATGTGGCTATGTAAGTCTTAGTCTTGGCACAGAATTTTCTAACCTGAACTCCAGAACTATGTCTGTAAGGGTTACTTCCCATTAGTATGAAATGATTCCGCATTCTCGTGTCCAGTTGACATAATGCTCAGTTTTATCTCCTGTTGGTTCAAGGGTTGATTTCCCAGGCATCTCCATCCAAACCAGCGTTTCATCTATATTGCCAATATTTCGATGTTCATAATTACACAGTCTCCTCATGCGAGTAATGAATCACAAGAAATAATCCACCCAATTAATGATTGCAGATACAGGGTAGTCTTTCTCATAGAAATTTGATGTCTCCGTTTCAAGCGAAACCATCCCCTAGAAGCTTTAAAAGATTGACATCCATTAAGTTTATGAAGCCGTAATGCCTCAGCCCTGAGTGCTTTTCCAGTTACACAGACTCCCTTCTCTCGCCAGTCTGTTAACCAAGTCATAAGTTTGTTGTCAATGTCCAAATTTTTCACTTTACGACGCTGCTTTCCTTTGGTTCTGATTTTTCCTCATTTTTCAGCCATCTCTGCACACATTTTCTTTGAATTTTGAAATGACTAGCGGCTTTATGGTTACCGTTTTCTTTGGCAAATTTTATCACAATAATTTTGAATGTTTTTGTAACTTGGTGAACTTCTACAAGAGAACAAGCTTGATAAACGTAAAATGTTTAAAGTAATTATCTTAAACGGCTAAGAAGAACTGGTCTGGAAAAACTGTTCTTTGTGATTTAGCATATCTGTTTCAATGGTCACAGAAACAGTATCAAATGGCACTATTACATTAGTAGTTTGATAACTACACATTTTTGAGCAATTATTATGAACTGGTCTGGAAAATGATCTTCCATGGATGCATGGACAGACGTAGCCCAAATCAATACCCCTTCAAAATGTGGGTTTTTTCCCCAAACAATTGAAATGGCACCTTGTATCGTTTGGATACCAAGTTGTTGTATTGCAATTGTCTTGTGCATTCCATTTAAAATCAGCATTAAATATTATTAAGGTGTATTATAGCAAGGTGGGCCATTTGCAAAACCCTAAAGACAACACTATCGTGCCAGAAAAAAATTGAAAGTTGGAAAATATTCATTCAAACTATCATTCATTGTGACATGAAAGTGGGTGTCCCAGTAATGCATTGCACCAATGCCACGTAGCAACCTCACAGGCATAGCATCAAAAAGTCTTGTTCACCAAGATACTTCAGTACATGTGCAGACAACAAGGGTCTGGTTGAATGAGACTAAGCAATTGAAACATTTCAAGAATGTCCAAAAGAATAAACTAGGGAAGTCAAGACATCTTGAACTAGTCAAATAAATACAGCATTCAAGGAAGGAAAAATTCATTAAACTTTAGGTTAATAAATATTGTCACCAAATATTTTGTTAAGTTTGTCTACCACAACGAAATACATCAGTGATAATTAACGCTATGCTCGCTCCACATGGCTTTGTCATAATTCATATTATTGAAAATAATCTAACTGAAAAATGTGCATTGTGACATGCACCATTTCACAGATAAAGCTGTATCATTGCAGGTGTGCATTCTTATTGGACACAATAACATGAAAAGCCATAAGGTCACATTTTATACTGTCAACAGACTTACCAGTCCATATGTATAATTTGAATAAAGTTACCAAATTTACTGGTGGGTTCACAAAATATACCTGTGTACAGGAGTAATTAAAAACATCTCTGGAACTATTGCTTTCAATGCCTTTTTCATTTCACAAATCCAAAGGTATGTTTACCTCTTTACCAGGTCTGGAAAAACCACAAATTTGCATACCGGCCTATCATATGCCAATATTGGGGTATGGGTTTGTTGGAAAAATAGCCAACATCATTTTGACCGTAACTTTTGGAATACATTTTTAAAAGTCGCATTAATTTATGACATGATGTTTACTTCAAGAATTTAGCAACTTGAGGTAACAGTTGCCACCATGCTAATTGTACTATCCCATCATATAGGCTGAAAATAATGTATTTATTTCTAGTATTTTATTTTTACAGTTATGACGTTTCATGACTAAATAAATGTGACTTCCACAAAAAAATGATAAAGCGAAGTTTAAAGTAATAGGCCAGTGTGCATATTAGTTTATTTTTGAATTCCCCAACTTGTCTATCATTACTGTACTGCAGGAAATTGAAAAAGCAAATGCCATCAGGTACATAACTTAGAAGTGTGTATCACCAGAGGAGTTATGTTTCCTGATACCAGTGTCATTGTACGTATTTCACATGTATGTATGCAGAATCATATGTTCCAATAATCAGTTGTAATGTCTTGGAGGTTTCATTTTTCCCCCTTTTTTTACTAAGGCCAAAGCATGTACACAATCAATGAAACACTATCAAGACACATTCACTTAGATCGCAAAAGCTTCTCTGGAATGATGGGACGATACACATCATATCAATATGTGAAACAAGTCGTGACATAAAGCTTAGATTCAGCAACATACAGATGCTGTAGCTAAGCGATCAGAACGTACGTGGAACATCACCATACGTTCGGCATAAAAATGCATTACATTTCTTACCATAAGACAAATTTTCGCTCAGCTTCAGTGGCCCTCGAAGAATATATACGACAAAGATTACCAACATGAACCAAACAGCCCATAGATAGGTCCAAGACCAATGGATCCACGATTTTACTTTTTCCAAGCACCTCGACAGGAAACCCGCCATATTGGGTACACCAAGACCCGCACTGAATAAATTACAAATAGACATTCTATTTCCTAGTTCTGATAAAACATCGACTGGTTGTGATTTGTTAACATTGTGGTTTTTAATAAAAAAAATATCTGTTGTGTATGATTTAGCGCGTTATATTTTAATCAAAGTATAAAATAATATTCTCTGTGAACCTACTATCGGCGGAACATCAATATTTTTCTCAAGTTGCAAGGTGCGAGATCGCGGGTTTATTTATATTTTCCCAAAATCTACTAAACACCAACCATATTGATGTGTAATACACGAATGCAGCTATATGGTTTAAGTATAATTGTGATTAATTAACTGTTCATGTCATTTATGCAGTAATCTGGTTTACACGTCCCTGGGTTTACTAAAGACGTCAGTTTCACTCGACTTTTCGCAGCTTAACCTATGGGGAAACAGCAGGAACCTATTGGTCCCTTTGGTTTCATTGTCAACACCTATATTGAATTATCTTTCATGGGAGTAATAAGAAAGTATCACTTGAATTAATTAGTTTGTTTCCTAGAAAGACGATGCTAGAACGTTTCTGTTAAAATAAGAAAATGTTATATCACGCGGGAGAGTTTGAAGTGAAAGCAGAAATACCCTTTCCCTTTGATTTTTTTGCTTGAATCAATACATTTAAACTATGCAAAGATAAAAATGCGTAAATGTTGTGATTTTGTTCATAGGAGTCTGGAAGGAAATACTGGATGTTTAGGCCATTGTCCATCTGAAGTTGTGACACAATGTTTGGACAAGGGGCAGGATTTGGTCAGTCTAGTGCTGGATCTGCATTTGGGCAGGCAACTGGACAAAACCAACAGACCTATGGCACTGGGCAGGGTCCTGGGTTTGGCACAAATGGGCAATCAACATTTGGTTCAGCAGGCCAGACACCAATGGGATTTGGAAGTACAACACAATCCTCATCAATTTTTGGTACATCTACAAGTACACCAGCATTTGGTGGTTCTTCAGTGTTTCGTACAACCACAAATTCATCAGCATTTGGTGTAACCATGAGCACCAGCCAATCAACATTTGGAGCTGGAACTGCCTTTGGAACTGGTCTCATAAACAATTCATCAGCTTTTATCTCAAGTCAGACATCCAGTGGATCAGGTTTTGGTAATGTGGCAACTTCATCATCAATATTTGGTGGTTCAGGAACTGCAAGTACATTAGGTGGCCAAACTACAGCAACATCTTTATTTGGGGGTACAAATCTCACTATTTTAGAGCCTCTTGGTGGCTCTGGACAGGGCAGTGGTTCTGTACTTACTAGCTCCAATCAAACCATTTCTGCTTTCAGTACTGCTGCTCCGAGCAATTTAGCATTTGGTGGCACAAGTAATAGCCAGAGAAGCACAACATTTGGTGCCGCTAGCCAGAGTAGTTCAACATTTGGTGGCACTGGCCAGGGAAGTTCAGTCTTTGGTGGCACGGGCCAAGGAAATTCAACATTTGGTGGCACTGGCCAGGGAAGTTCAACATTTGGTGGCACCAGCCAGGGCAGTTCAATGTTTGGTGGCTCTGGCCAAGGAAGTTCAATTTTTGGTGGCACTGGCCAGGGTAGTTCAACATTAGTTGCCACTGGGCAGGGTAACGCATCTGTATTTGGTGGTCAGACTACCTTAGCCTTTGGAAGTACAACAGGATTTGGCACAGTACCACAGGGACAAACAGCTCCTGGACAACAAAGTAAAGGTATTAATATGTCACATGGTCAAATGTCTTGAGTTAAAATGTAAAATAGGTCTGAAAATAAACATTCCAAAATTCTTATTAAAAATGTTTTCTCTCGTACATGTATTTTCATACAGTAGAGATGAGTGTTTGAGATGTAACACATTTTACAGAAACTGGTTCTACAGCCAGCCTGTTTGGCGGCACTACTACAACCAATGTGTTTGGAGGTGCTTCTAAGACCAGTTCAGGATCTGTGTTCGGTGGATCTGAGGGTAAAGTCCCTACAGGAAATGCTGCCAGTCCTCCATCAAATCTCTCCAAACAGCTACAGCCCCCTAAAACAACTTTCATCACCAAGACAACACTGTCAAAAGGTAAGATCAATCTTGATTTTACATGTGTATATGAATATAGCATATTTGATGTAAAGGATTGTTGTGTTAAATTCAATTTTAGTTTTACAAACTCTTCTTTGATATGTGTATATAATTCTGACAGCATCACTCGGCTATGTGTAGATATAGTTTGATATAGATTACACTGAAATACCTTTATTTCAGCACTAATAGCTTTAGTGCATTTAGCTAATTTTAGATGGAGTTTGAAATGTAATAACAAAGATTTGAACTTGACTGAATTATCTGTTTGAGTTCACTTGTACCTCTCATTGTCTTTATGTTGAAAGATTAATCAATAACAGATCTTGTTTCATTAGTAAATAAATATTTCTACATCTGTATAGGTGGAGAAGATTGTAAAGGATCAGGATCTGACAGGACTCCCACAGGAACACAGGACCAAGCCATGCCTTCACATGGTCAGTGTTTGACTGGCACTAATGTCTCCACCGGGAGCTCTTCCTCTTCCACTCATCTCTTTGGTAAAACAGGTAATGGTGTCCAGGTGTCTTTTGAACTTAAAAAGTGTCTCATTTACAAGTAACAACATTGAACTCAAAGACTGTTATCAAATTGGATGTTAAAAACATTTTTAAGACAGCCTTCTGTGTTGGCATTAACAAGCAAATTTTTCTCATCACTACATTTTTAAGAATTATTTATAATATTGTGATTGTTATTTAGGAGTGAATATATTTAATTCAGTAAATAATGTCTAAATTAAATACATCTGGAACGTTAAAAAATTTGTTCTCGCTTTATCACACAAATCACATTGAATTTTAAGATGACAAAAACCAGGGTCTTTTTGGCAAGGACAGGACTAGTGACACTCGCAAATTGGGAAGGAAAACAAGTGATGACACAGGTAATAAATTGTATCTATATCTGGTATTTGTATTGTTTTCCACAGCTTCAGGTTTTTACTGAATCCACAATTGAACAGGAAATCAGACTAATTAAGTGAAAATAGAAAGCTTTTCAGAACTAAAAACTAAATTTCTTATTTCCTCATGATCAGGTCACTTAGCCTAAGCTGTGGTGTGGCATCCGTTGTCTGTCCAATATCAACTTCTTCTCAATTACCTTTAAGGCCAAGAACCATATTTGGATGGTAGGTTTCTGAGATGAATTTTTGTGAAAAGAAATTATCCTGACCTCTTCTTGGAGACTTTGAAGACATTGAAATATTATTGTAATTGTGAAAAATGTTAAATAGCAGGTGAGTGATGGTTATCCGTAGGGCCTCATGTTAATTTCATAAAATGCTTTTCTTGGGTGAAGGGCTCTGTTTTGTATTTACATATGTCAAGTATTGATAAAAAGATTTGAAGTGAACCGCTTTTTAATTCTATAATGTTTGCCAGTAGATGTTTGCCAGTCCAGTCACTCAGATTCTTTAAAACGACTGATTTGATGGTCCTGGCAAACATCTCAATGATCGAGACATGATTGAAAACGAAAATTCATCTTTCGGAATAAAGTTTGGTTTTGAATCGTGTTTTATTTTCAGATGAAGCTCCGAGGGCAAAGAGGACTATGTTACGGCGACTGTCATCTGTGTCTAGTGATATTTCTGACAAGGTTGTGATAGTGTGTAGGAACGTTCCAGCTAAATGTAATAATAGTATGAGCTTGAAAAGTCACTTCACTAAGTTCGGCCAAGTGAAAAGGATTTTACCAAACCCAAAACGGCAGCAGGCTACAATTCACTTCAACACACATGTATGTTGACACACCAGTAACAATTTAAATCTGTTTTCATTTGGATCAAGTTAAGACTTGCTTCTCTATGAATGTTTCTTGCATTGCCAAAAATAATTTAGCTGGTTAAGTTACAATAAGTCACTTGCTTACAATAACTAGCATTTATCCAGATTGTTTAAAAAATATCATTTTCCCATTCCCAATATTGCTAAGCATTTCATTTTTATCAAAATTCAGATTTCTTCTAGATTTAAGTACTGAAATTGTTTAGATTTTGTGAATACTTTATTTTGCAAACTTACCCCTTCAGACATATTCGCAAATACAGGATGTTGTGAATGGTGGTCTGGAAACTACTTCAAATTCGCAATGATGGGCTGTTAGATATATAGACTCTGATATTTGTAACTGAATCAGCATGGATGTGATCAAGAGTTATCTTTCTACAAATATTCACAAAGGATTTGAATTTGCGGTCGACTCTCCTCGCATAGTGACGTGAAAATAAATTGTGTGTGAAGTATAAGTGATTTACAGTATTATGGCAGTGGATGTATGGGTGAACAAGAGATCAATTCTAACATCAGCTTTATAAAGTGTATTCCAATGATGATAATGCTGTTAATCTGGGTTCCATTGACATTTTATATGGAATTTCTATTGACAGGAAGAAGCTGCAAGGGCTAAACGCCTTGGTAGTAAGATAGATGGCAATCTCAACCCGATGGAGATCTTCTGGAGGCGTCAGAGTGGTAGTGTAGTTACCTCCCCTGTTGGACAAAAGCAGGCAGAGGAATCAACTAGTAGAGCAGGGGATTCTGGCAAACGACGGGCCACAGGTACTGAAAAAAAAAAAGATGATGTGCTTAAGTTGGTAACATAACAATTTTTCTAACCACACACTTAATAGCTTTCACTGTTCAATAGATGCTGTATTTGATTCATGTGTATGTCTACACACTCATATTGCTGTATAAAGGGCAGTAATACCTCAATCAGCTCAACTTCACATAATACATGTTGTTCAATTCTAGCCCAGTGTATTTGTCTTTCTCATGAATCTTAGACCATTGACAGTATGGTGTCCTTTGGCAAAACAATTCACCCAAATCTACTGTGGATATGAGGTGATGGTGTTCCTGTATAGATCAGTGAGGTAGACACTGCTGAGGTGATGGTGTTCCTGTATAACGATCAGTGAGGTAGACACTACTGAGGTGATGGTGTTCCTGTATAGATCAGTGAGGTAGACACTGCTGAGGTGATGGTGTTCCTGTATAACGATCAGTGAGGTAGACACTACTGAGGTGATGGTGTTCCTGTATAGATCAGTGAGGTAGACACTACTGAGGTGATGGTGTTCCTGTATAACAATCAGTGAGGTAGACACTACTGAGGTGATGATGTTCCTGTATAACAATCAGTGAGGTAGACACTACTGAGGTGATGGTGTTCCTGTATAACAATCAATGAGGTAGACACTACTGAGGTGATGATGTTCCTGTATAGATCAGTGAGGTAGACACTACTGAGGTGATGGTGTTCCTGTATAACAATCAGTGAGGTAGACACTGCTGAAGTGATGGTGTTCCTGTATAGATCTGTGAGGTAGACACTACTGAGGTGATGGTGTTCCTGTATAGATCAGTGAGGTAGACACTACTGAGGTGATGGTGTTCCTGTATAGATCAGTGAGGTAGACACTACTGAGGTGATGGTGTTCCTGTATAGATCAGTTAGGTAGACACTACTGAGGTGATGATGTTCCTGTATAGATCAATGAGGTAGACACTACTGAGGTGATGGTGTTCCTGTATAGATCAGAGAGGTAGACACTACTGAGGTGATGGTATTCCTGTATAGATCTGTGAGGTAGACACTACTGAGGTGATGATGTTCCTGTATAGATCAGTGAGGTAGACACTACTGAGGTGATGGTGTTCCTGTATAACAATCAGTGAGGTAGACACTACTGAGGTGATGATGTTCCTGTATAGATCAGTGAGGTAGACACTACTGAGGTGATGGTGTTCCTGTATAGATCAGTGAGGTAGACACTACTGAGGTGATGGTGTTCCTGTATAGATCAGTGAGGTAGACACTGCTGAAGTGATGGTGTTCCTGTTTAACGATCAGTGAGGTAGACACTACTGAGGTGATGGTGTTCCTGTATAGATCAGTTAGGTAGACGCTACTGAGGTGATGGTATTCCTGTATAACGATCAGTGAGGTAGACACTACTGAGGTGATGATGTTCCTGTATAACAATCAGTGAGGTAGACACTGCTGAAGTGATGGTGTTCCTGTATAGATCAGTGAGGTAGACACTACTGAGGTGATGATGTTCCTGTATAGATCAGTGAGGTAGACACTACTGAGGTGATGGTGTTCCTGTATAGATCAGTGAGGTAGACACTACTGAGGTGATGGTGTTCCTGTATAGATCAGTGAGGTAGACACTACTGAGGTGATGGTGTTCCTGTATAGATCAGTGAGGTAGACACTATTTACTACAGGATTATCTTTGACCTGTATATACAGTGATGAATCCAGCAAACAAACATTTAATATAGAACCTGCACTTATATTAAGTACCTGTATAGATCAGGAGTTTGGTGTAAATGTACAATATCATTATTTTAAAGTGATAGTGTGAACAGCAGTTGATATTTTTATATTGTGCTATAAGGTGCTGAAAAAGACAAGCCCAAGTGGATGAAGAGTGAGGTGGATGATGAGCTAAGTAGTATGTCCGGCACATCGGATGTTAACAGGGAGGTCAGTGGATCTCTGGACAGGGTACTCAAGCGTCCAGTTGGTCAGACTAGACCAGCACGTAGTCCCGTGACACGTACCAGACAGTCCAGTCCAACCCCATTGACACCCTCATCTTCTACAGATGATGTCAACATTGGCAAAGGTATTTACCAATTATAAAAAAAATGGTTGGTGTTTCTATAGGGTGTTGGTATTACATCAACAGTTTCCAATCTAAACTAAACTTTTGATATGAAACAAGAGCTACTAACTGAGTCTTTGGTGTGATTTTCTATATCAACTGAATGCAGTTTGAATATCTGTGACAACTGAATACAGCTTGAATATCTGTGACAACTGAATACACCTTGAATATCTGTGACAACTGAATACACCTTGAATATCTGTGACAACTGAATACAGCTTGAATATCTGTGACAACTGAATGCAGTTTGAATATCTGTGACAACTGAATACACCTTGAATATCTGTGACAACTGAATACAGCTTGAATATCTGTGACAACTGAATACAGCTTGAATATCTGTGACAACTGAATACACCTTGAATATCTGTGACAACTGAATACAGCTTGAATATCTGTGACAACTGAATGCAGTTTGAATATCTGTGACAACTGAATACACCTTGAATATCTGTGACAACTGAATACAGCTTGAATATCTGTGACAACTGAATACAGCTTGAATATCTGTGACAACTGAATACAGCTTGAATATCTGTGACAACTGAATACACCTTGAATATCTGTGACAACTGAATACACCTTGAATATCTGTGACAACTGAATGCAGTTTGAATATCTGTGACAACTGAATACACCTTGAATATCTGTGACAACTGAATACAGCTTGAATATCTGTGACAACTGAATACAGCTTGAATATCTGTGACAACTGAATACACCTTGAATATCTGTGACAACTGAATACACCTTGAATATCTGTGACAACTGAATACAGCTTGAATATCTGTGACAACTGAATACACCTTGAATATCTGTGACAACTGAATACAGCTTGAATATCTGTGACAACTGAATACAGTTTGAATATCTGTGACAACTGAATACAGCTTGAATATCTGTGACAACTGAATACAGCTTGAATATCTGTGACAACTGAATACAGTTTGAATATCTGTGACAACTGAATACAGTTTGAATATCTGTGTCAACTGAATACAGCTTGAATATCTGTGACAACTGAATACAGTTTGAATATCTGTGTCAACAGTTTAAGCATTTTTTTTATCTGAAGAGGGTTAAATATATGTATAAACTCCCCCATTTACATTGTTCAATCAAACCTGTCTTATGAGACACCCAATGTGACCAACCAACAAGTGTCTTAATATACAGGTGTCTTAAATCTTTCCGTAAATGTGCCTCCTGGTCCCTGTTGTCGTGTACACACGACAAAAAAATATGAAGCCTCATCCCCATTGTCGTGTACACACGACAAGAAACTTGATATTACCTGCATTACGATTAGTTGGTCACAGCAGACCACGGATGAGTTATCAAATAATTTTTCACAAATTATCAACTTCCCAACTTGATAAAGATTTTGATAGGTGAAAAGTACACAATTTTCATCATGTAACCCAATTTGTTTAAATTTCCAGCGAGATGTTGCGCAGTGTCATCACCAATGAAAACAACATGGCGGCAAGCGCATTTAATACGAACGTTCAGTCATACGTAGTACTCAATATAAAGTGAAATTTTTAGTATTAAATGAGCAATAATAGTTATCTTTCACTATTCACAGATATCTTTACTTTGAAGCTTTTACGACTGATGTTACCAAAATAAATTGATTAAATTCCCATTTGAAGACCACACACTAAAACTGTATTAAGGACAATGGATCGCAGTTTGTTTACGATAACACATCAATTTTTCGGTTGTAAGACAGATGTCAGTTGTGTATAATGTTATGAATACAAAGATGTATGAGTCTTTTAACAAAACAACCAGCGATGAGAACATTGGTCAACGGTTACCTGCATTTTTCAGCAGAATTTACACCTCATCTGAAAGCAACACAAATAATCCGCCATTTTGCGCACATGTGCGGAGCTGCACCTCAAAGCAACATCCGGTACGGAACCCGGACAGGAATAACAGTACAGAAAAAGTTAATATACAGTTGTATTAATATACAGGTGTATTAATATACAGGTGTTGGCAGCACTTAACACAGGATTGATATAGCGCTACATTTTATAATCTATCTAAAATCAGCAACATTCAATTAACCTAGACCAAATCTGAATTCTTGTAAAATAGAGGGGAAATCACATCATATAGAGAAGATATTGTGTAAAATAGAGGGGAAATCACATCATATAGAGAAGATATTGTGTAAAATAGAGGGGAAATCACATCATATGGAGAAGATATTGTGTAAAATAGAGGGGAAATCACATCATATAGAGAAGATATTGTGTAAAATAGAGGGGAAATCACATCATATGGAGAAGATATTGTGTAAAATAGAGGGGAAATCACATCATATGGAGAAGATATTGTGTAAAATAGAGGGGAAATCACATCATATGGAGAAGATATTGTGTAAAATAGAGGGGAAATCACATCATAAGAAGATATTGTGTAAAATAGAGGGGAAATCACATCATATGGAGAAGATATTGTGTAAAATAGAGGGGAAATCACATCATATGGAGAAGATATTGTGTAAAATAGAGGGGAAATCACATCATATAGAGAAGATATTGTGTAAAATAGAGGGGAAATCACATCATATGGAGAAGATATTGTGTAAAATAGAGGGGAAATCACATCATATGGAGAAGATATTGTGTAAAATAGAGGGGAAATCACATCATATAGAGAAGATATTGTGTAAAATAGAGGGGAAATCACATCATATGGAGAAGATATTGTGTAAAATAGAGGGGAAATCACATCATATAGAGAAGATATTGTGTAAAATAGAGGGGAAATCACATCATATAGAGAAGATATTGTGTAAAATAGAGGGGAAATCACATCATATAGAGAAGATATTGTGTAAAATAGAGGGGAAATCACATCATATAGAGAAGATATTGTGTAAAATAGAGGGGAAATCACATCATATAGAGAAGATATTGTGTAAAATAGAGGGGAAATCACATCATATAGAGAAGATATTGTGTAAAATAGAGGGGAAATCAAATCATATAGAGAAGATATTGTGTAAAATAGAGGGGAAATCACATTATATAGAGAAGATATTGTGTAAAATAGAGGGGAAATCACATCCTATGGAGAAGATATTGTGTAATACTTAAGAAATGGTCGTCCATGTAGGATTGTTTCTTTGTATTACACACATCAGTTTTGACAATATACTCCTGTTTAGTGAAATTTATTTTTGTGGTATGTTTATAAAATGATGTCGCTTTCATCCATGTTTCATTCTATCATCTCACCTTCAGGTTTAACATGGGAAATACCATGGGGGGACTTATAGGTAGCAAGAAACTGTTTATTTACATTTCCCCTGAAATTACTGGTCATGTTTGAGATATACAGGTATAGCAGTTTGGTTATGAAAAATACATCATTACATGTGTATATATTTATAAAATACATAACAATTACATGAATAGTAGAGAGATAAAATTTGTGTAAATAACAACTTTCCTCTGATTTCTGACATGTGATTGCCATGGTTACCTACTGAAAAAATGCTGTAGATTCAAAAATACTGCTAATTCCAACATAATACAACTTTCTAGAATATTTTATTTTCTTAACACCTGTCTTACAATCAAAAACACTGACATGGTAACAAAGTACTTACATTTCAGCAAATTCCAACTCAGAAATTCTTCATAACATGACCACATGTAAATACTGTGAAAATTTCACTTCCTGTAAAGCTTGTTTTTGGTGCGTAGACACAGATGCGAGACTGCCCAAATAGTAATCTCCAACACAAAGCTAAAATATTATTCTGACAAAAAATGAAACCCCACATTGTCCCCTTCTACAAGACCAATTGCAGCCATGATTTATTTTTTAAATTTTATTTAAATCCTTTATAATGGGGTAATCTAATGAACAAAAAAATCACCCATGGCCACACCGAGAAACTGTGGACTGCTACCTATATAGTGGCCTATTACACAGTGTGACTTAATATACAAAGTGAAACAATTTTTACTTTACTGTTACATTTTAATATTATAAACTTTCAGGTTTCTCCTACCTGTATTTATCTGTTGTCACAGATTCCTGCGGACATTGAATAACTGTCGTTCATCTTACCTGTATTTATCTGTTGTCACAGATTCCTACGGACATTGAATAACTGTCGTTAATCTTACCTGTATTTATCTGTTGTTACAGATTCCTTGCGGACATTGAATAACTGTCGTTAATCTTACCTGTATTTATCTGTTGTCACAGATTCCCTGCTGACATTGAATAACTGTCGTTAATCTTACCTGTATTTATCTGTTGTTACAGATTCCCTGCTGACATTGAATAACTGTCGTTAATCTTACCTGTATTTATCTGTTGTTACAGATTCCCTGCTGACATTGAATAACTGTCGTTAATCTTACCTGTATTTATCTGTTGTTACAGATTCCCTGCGGACATTGAGTAACTCTATTGGACATACTGTAGCCGAAAAAATTCAGATACTCAAACTAAGAGACAAAGTTGTCAGACACGGTAAGTTATAACTCCGAATCTAGCCAACCTAAAATATTTTAATTCATCCAAATTTTGACTCAAACAATGTTTATACATAAGGTTGACGATATCAGTTTCCTGATGTTGATTACAGTAGGGCAAAGCTACGACAGTACACGAACAGCATAGTGTAATCTGATATTGAAATAGCTGTTAATAGTCAAATTTATTAATTTCTACTTTCTCCTTTTATTGTTTATACATCTGAACAACAAAACATGTAATAACAACTCCAATCAAATACATCTGTACTCACATCGTTATGTCCGGCACACGTGTACAATATCCTTACTGACCAAAGACATATACATGATATATTTTACGGAATGACAATAGAATGAAATTAAAATTTGCTTTTGATACATTACAAGAAACGATGCTATAGATCTTACCAATATGATTACGATTAGATAAACTGATGAAAAACACAGCACTAGAAAGTTTTTACCTGTTATGAAAACATTGTACCAGCACTAAATTTAACAAATTATACACAGATAGACTCTATCCATGAAAAATACTTTCAATAGTTCATGGTCCAAACACTTAATCTGACGTAGTGCTTGATTATAGATCTTTAGTAAACAAACTCAAAATAAATTTCTCTCGGAATTGTGGGGATCAGATTGCATCAAAAAGTTTGTGCTGGTTTGACAGTTTCGTTTTTATCCTTCCTAAAGATGCAAGCAAGCTAAATGTTTTTTTAACGTACAGGTAAGTCACTGCTACACGATGGTGACACTAATTAAGAAGTCAATATTTGATTGGATAATTAAACAGGTACTTGATTACCAGAGACCAAGTGTTGTGTGTACGATGGACTGATACACAGTAATCAGCCATGTGTTACACACAGTTAGTTGACTTCCTACTCTGTGTATGCATTGACTGATTTTGTTAGAAGACGAGCCAATGTTTTGGCAAAAATTAATTTCGCGACAACAAATAACTTGCTTTACAATTAAAGAGACTGAAAAATCGCTTCAACTCAAGCAAAATTTTGACTTCATGAAATACGAGTCATGCGAGCTAAAATTATCATGATATAGTAGGAAAATAATTGAAACTTGGAAATTATTTCGACTCAAAACGGAAGTTGGACTCCAGCGATTTCGAGACAATCATTTTCAACTATATATACATGTACAGTATGTTATTCAATTTAGGACTGCCCTGCATATTTCATTTTTGAATATCAAGACACTGGGACAAATTTGCAACCAGTAAAATTTGGTTCAAACTCTTGACTCTCTTACACTTTGTGATTGCTTCTCTGTCAGGTCGTACAAAACAGTCGAGTCTGGCTACAGCAAAGGCTTTTGTTGGCCACTGTCCTGACATGTGTCCCGAGATGGAACGATATGATCGGCAAGAAAAGCGACGTCTTCATCAGTTTGAAACTTTACAAGGCGTTGAGTTACAGGTAAGCAGTAGTTTTAATGTTCCTTTAAGTGATGGTGTAACTTTACAAGGCGTTGAGTTACAGATAAGCAGTAGTTTTAATGTTCCTTTAAGTGATGGTGTAACATTATTTTGTAATATTAAGAGTAGAAATCAAAACAAAAGTTCCTGTGGAAATCATTCTTTAATTCACTTTATTTGATCAAAATCTTTCAACATAGAGAAATTGTTGTATTCAAGAACTGAATGATTTCTGTGTAAAGTTTAGTGGTGTGTGTGTGTTAATGTGTGTTTACTTTGTTACAGCCTGGTATGAACCCCCAGGTAGATCACCTTTAGTTAAGAACTTTCATTTCTGTGTAAAGTTTAGTGTGTGTTTACTTTGTTACAGCCTGGTATGAACCCCCAGGTGGATCACCTTTAGTTAAGAACTTTCATTTCTGTGTAAAGTTTAGTGTGTTTACTTTGTTACAGCCTGGTATGAACCCCCAGGTGGATCACCTTTAGTTAAGAACTTTCATTTCTGTGTAAAGTTTAGTGTGTTTACTTTGTTACAGCCTGGTATGAACCCCCAGGTGGATCACCTTTAGTTAAGAACTTTCATTTCTGTGTAAAGTTTAGTGTGTTTACTTTGTTACAGCCTGGTATGAACCCCCAGGTAGATCACCTTTAGTTAAGAACTTTCATTTCTGTGTAAAGTTTAGTGTGTGGCTACTTTGTTACAGCCTGGTTCTGGATCACCTTTAGTTAAGAACTTTCATTTCTGTGTAAAGTTTAGTGTGTGTTTACTTTGTTACAGCCTGGTATGAACCCCCAGGTGGATCACCTTTAGTTAAGAACTTTCATTTTGTGTAAAGTTTAGTGTGTTTACTTTGTTACAGCCTGGTATGAACCCCCAGGTATCACCTTTAGTTAAGATCACTGTGTAAAGTTTAGTGTGTTTACTTTGTTACAGCCTTAAGAACCTTTAGTTTTTCTGTGTAAAGTTTAGTGTGTTTACTTTGTTACAGCCTGGTATGAACCCCCAGGTAGATCACCTTTAGTTAAGAACTTTCATTTCTGTGTAAAGTTTAGTGTGTTTACTTTGTGTGGTAAAGGTTCACCTTTAGTTAAGAACTTTCATTTCTGTGTAAAGTTTAGTGTGTGTTTACTTTGTTACAGCCTGGTATGAACCCCCAGGTAGAAAGTTTAGTGTGTTTACACCTTTAGTTAAGAACTTTCATTTCTGTGTAAAGTTTAGTGTGTGTTTACTTTGTTACAGCCTGGTATGAACCCCCAGGTGGATCACCTTTAGTTAAGAACTTTCATTTCTGTGTAAAGTTTAGTGTGTGTTTACTTTGTTACAGCCTGGTATGAACCCCCAGGTAGATCACCTTTAGTTAAGAACTTTCATGTAAAGTTTAGTGTGTTTACTTTGTGTTCATTTCTGTGTAAAGTTTAGTGTGTGTTTACTTTGTTACAGCCTGGTATGAACCCCCAGGTAGATCACCTTTAGTTAAGAACTTTCATTTCTGTGTAAAGTTTAGTGTGTGTTTACTTTGTTACAGCCTGGTATGAACCCCCAGGTAGATCACCTTTAGTTAAGAACTTTCATTTCTGTGTAAAGTTTAGTGTGTGTTTACTTTGTTACAGCCTGGTATGAACCCCCAGGTGGATCACCTACGAGCTGTGAAGGAATATAGTAGATCTTCTGCTGATCAGGTGATTTGTCTTTCACCTTGTATGTTTCATTTATGTCAACTTTATTCAGTCTTCCATAATTTGGAAAAAATCATCTTTGTTACAGTAGGTTGTAGACACAAATTAATTAATTAGTTAAAATGATGAAAATTAGTTGTGTAAGAAAATATCCCTGTATACACAACAAAGATATATAATGGGACAGTTACTGGTTTGAGAGTTAAAACTCTGTTTTATATATGGATATATAGGTAATTACTGTAAAATTCCACTTGTTATACTGTATCAATCTGTATCCTATTATGGATGGAGGAAATCAGTGATTCCTGATGGGTTGTCATTGTACATTTCTGATATTCCTTATTGCATAAAAAATCCTATCTAGTTTGAGATGATGTTTATTGTTCGCTTTCTTACGTCCTCAAGTAAAAAATTCACAGACAAAAGCAATAGTTTTGATTTTTTTGTTCTATGTACCATGTAATGTGTTTATCATGTTAAGCCTCTGTTAAGTCTGCCACATATGGAGCTGTTTCAATACCAAGTTCTTTCAAAAATGCTTTTTGTACTGTGAAATAATTAATTTTGGTTAGAGTTTTATTTTCTATTGTTTTTGCAGTTACTCTAAAAATTTGTTTGTCCACAAAGTTTTGAAATTTATATAAGTAGAGGTATTGAGCTATGATTATTCACGAAATCAAGTATCCACAAAATTTTTTTATTGGTTTTTTTATTTTTGAAAAATCAGAAAATAAAGTTCCACAAAAATATATGTTTTTAAGATTAATCTAATACTCTTTTACTGCTCAAGGAAGAGCCACTTCCCTATGAGTTACGTCCTATATCAGTTCTGGTGACAACCATGAACTACCTCCTGAGTGAGATAGCTGACAGAGGAAATGACGGAACATGGGGTGACTGGTTTGATTTCCTGTGGAATCGTATGCGAGGTATTCGGAAGGTAAGAAATTACAAAAGGAACTCCCGCAACAAATCACGTTTTGGTCTGTTTGATTTGACTTCTTTTTTAATCATATGTGAGGGATTTTTTAAAGTAAGTTTTGAGGATGTTGCTGATCTTAGAACAACTTGATTCCTTTTAAATTTATCTTTAAATAAAGTAAAGAAAAACTAGTATCTGTGGAATCACGTTTATAATAGGCATGGCTTGTACTGAAGATTAAACAGCTTCTTTGCTCTTGATTGATATAAAAGTAGTCTGTATCTGTGTTGTCAGTCGTTTTCTCATGGTGTGGTGATTTACACATTGAATTGTCTGGTGTTTTAGGATATTACTCAACAACAGTTGTGTGACATCCACACAGCCGAACTCCTGGAAAAATGTGTCCGATTCCATGTATTCTGTGCAGAACGACTTTGTGAAGAAGATATGTTTTCCTTTGATGAAAAAATCAACAATGAAAACATGACAAAATGTCTGCAGACGTTAAAGGAACTGTACCATGATTTGTTGAAGAAACACAACACCTTCTGTCACAATGAGGCTGAGATAAGGGCTTACATGATCCTAATGAACTTGAATCAGGGTGATATTTTAAGGTTAGATATGAACAAAACAACTGAAACAAACTTCTGTTTAATGTCCCTAATTGTGCCCAGCTAATATCAAAACATGAAGACAACATGGCCGACAGGCAACCATCTTGAATTTTGACAATGAAATCTGTTATTGCACTAGATGAATGTTGTAGGTCTGCCTTAGTCCCTAGTTGTGCTATTGAGAATGATAGGGAAAACAAAATGACAAGACAGGTGGCCATCTTGGATTTTGACATTCAAAGCTTGTTTTTGCTATTTCCTGAAAAGCACTAGAAGACTGTTTATGAAACTTTATGTGTAGGTTCTTCTCAATCCTTTATTGTGTCAATTTGAATTTTAGATTGATCAGGAAAATAAAAAAGTAGATAGTTTGACATCTTGCAAGGTAATAGGATATTTATCAAACCTGATATCTAGGCTCCCCACTGTCCCTGGTTGTGCCCACTTGATTTTGATTAAAACAATTCTTATTTCTTGAGAGTAATTAGCAATTTTCATAGAAGTTCTACACCTCATCATATTAACCCTATAGTATCATACAAGTTCTACACCTCATCATATTTACCCCATAGTATCATACAAGTTCTACACCTCATCATATTTACCCCATAGTATCATACAAGTTCTACACCTCATCATATTTACCCCATAGTATTATACAAGTTCTACACCTCATCATATTTACCCTATAGTATCATACAAGTTCTACATCTCATCATATTTACCTTATAGTATCATACAAGTTCTACACCTCATCATATTTACCCCATAATATCATACAAGTTCTACACCTCATCATATTTACCTTATAGTATCATACAAGTTCTACACCTCATCACCGCCATTCCTATCTTGCAGACATCTTCTTTTGTTTATCCTTGTTTATCATTTGTGCTGCCCTCAGATTTTAAGGTCAGATATGAATACAATGATAATGGGAAGCAGGTATGTGAGTAAGGTTTATTGTTGAAATCAGTTGAAAGACTTTGAAATATTGAGGTGAAGGTTGCATTGACAGTCTTTAGATTTCTAAACATTTCTGTTTGTTTCTGTGCCACTAGAGAAACACAGCAGTTACGAGCAGAAGTTAGAAACTCGGTTCACATACGGTTTGCACTGCAGGTGTATTCTGCCCTCAACAGTCACAACTATGTTAGATTCTTTAGGCTTGTACGTGATGCCTCCTACCTCAACGCCTGTATCATGCACAGGTAAGTCCTTCCCAAAGGTAGTTAAATCTCAGAATGACAGAATCATGAATCATACCTTCATTATAAATTGCTCTGCTACACTAAGCCTATGCTTGGACATAACTATTTCTGTTCAGTAGAATTGTAAATAAATTTCATTATCTTGTATTAACTTGGATAATAAGCCCAGACTTCGAATCAGAACTTGTATATTTGCCCCCAGCCCCACCCCCCTGGTCTCTGATATAAATATTGTAAATAATGTTAAACAGTGTATTTCATCTGTAAAGCAAATATTTGAAAAGATCCTACCTTTTTAGGATGAAGATTGGTGGTAAGATGATAATAAATTTGACAATGAAATATTTTGGATTTTTCTTGTACAGGTACTTCACTCAGGTACGGGGTGGAGCACTGAAGAGAATTCTGTTTACCTGTGGAAAAGGGGATCACCAGGTATTTGATATAGAAATATTGTTTTATACCTTAGAGAAATATTAAAACAAGGTAAACATTTACCTGTAGAAATAAGGTAACACCCGAAGATAATGTATGTTGACATATAAAGACAAAGTTTATGTTGGACTGCTGGAACTAAATAATCGGGGTATTTAGATCCTCACATCTGATGACTTTAGACATTGTAATGCATTAAGCTTTAAGATGTATTCATTAGATATGGAGAGTTGACTAAAAGGGAATTAATGAAAAGATTAGCGGGAATGTCAATGAGTTTTGTAGTGTTTATGTTTTAATTCTCAAGTTAAGTTTGTATTATCATTAATTTATTGCGTCTTTAATTTGTATTGCAATAAATATTTTTACTATTGATTTGAGTTACTGTTAGGTTGTGTTACTATTAATTTGTATTATCAATTAGGGCCGGTTTCCAAAACGGCCCCTTCTCTGATTCAAATTTCCTGTTGGTGGTGCATTGCCCATGCCGTTGTGGTCACAAATCTATAAAGTATAAAGATTTAGGTCACTTGGCTTGTTTTTTATGGCTCCTCAAAGTTGTACCTTTCAGAAGCTGTCTAAGTGTTGATAAAATGTGCATGTTATGTAAAATATTAATGAAAATCTAATCAAATGATAGTCACCGTAAAGAATACATTCATGGCATGATTGTGACAAAAAATCATTTTCCATTGCGCCATTTGGCTGTTTTATGGAAGAAACAATCTCAATAATGCTATTTTCGATAACATTTTAGACACAAAAACTGTGTTTTTTAGAGAATACACCCTTTTATGGGCGTTGGATGCAAACCAATTTTTATCCTATTAAATAGTACGTAATATGCTATTGATGAGAGGAAAAATCATCAAAATGTAAGTGGTGGAACATTTTCAAATGTTGGGTTGAATTAGCCTATGGTTGAATTGCCGATTTTCGACTTTCTTTAGATAATCAACAAAAAAACGAGAGTATTTGCTCGGTATGTTGAGAATATGTACACAGATATGAAAAAAAGTGAGAGAAACACTTTTTCATAAAAAAATCCAAGATGGCTACTTCACAAGTCCCCGTGGTTGAAGACATTGGCTGACAAATAGACAGAACAACAAACAAAACGTGTTCCTTATGATTTTGGTTGGTTTTCGCATTTACGGGAGTGTTCATAGCTACGGGCGATTGTATAATACCTATATTTATAAGTTTGGTTAGTCACATGGTAACGGGGATCTTTCATATCAAGCCCCAAACATACTTTCGACATATGCACTCCGTTGCCGCGTGGAAAACTATTTCAAGTTTTGTCGGAATTTCTTTACCTGTGGTTGTAATGGTCGAGGGTTTTCCAGCGTCCTGTAATACCCAAGGTAGTACAAGATACTGGAGATGTGCGCACACATTCCCATCGTTCTCTCTCCAACTGGGCACTGGCAGTAGTAGTCCTTTATTGGGGCCTCAACATCGGGTGAAACGTTGAAACGTATCCAAATGTTATATTTCGTTTGGCTTTTGTGTCGAGAATGTATTTGACATCGGAGAAGGTCTGGGGAGTGCTGGTAAAGCCACACCTCATAGTCTCCGTCATCACTTAAATGTTCGGCGATGTAACCAGGAGCCAGAGATATCTGATACGTTCCACACGTAATGGTTCTCAAGTAATCAAGATTGAGACGGGGAAACAGTACGGAAGATGCATCCATCTTGACAAACTCGGACCTTGCCCGTCTAGATAGATCCGGATCTATCTTGACTCTCTGAGCTAAACCATTCAGTGTTGTCAAATGGTCCTTCATACGTTCAGCCATTAGCCTATCTTTGGCATCTCTCTCTGGAGATCTCTGGTAGATCGGTCCTCTAATACCATTCAGACAGGCTGTGACGGGCCGAAGCAAAGCCTCAATGACATCGATAAAGCTGTTAGACACCAATTGCGTTCGGAAGAACGTCCAGTGTTTCAGACGACCATGATAGGATTCCACAATCCACCTCGATTTAGTGATAGTTCTGTCAAGATTTGCTTGGACGTCAGAATGTTGACTTTGACCGGGTTTCAGGTATAACGGCATGCTAGCATTGAGGCCAGAGGTTCGAGAACTGGTAGGACATCTCTAAAACCTCGGTCAACGACAACGTTGTCGTCTGATTGTAGCCAAGTAACTAGCTTGTCCATGACTTTTTTTTGTAATTGTAGCATCATTTTCGCTGCCAGTGAATGGTCCTACGGTGTCCAGAATGTAGCCATCTGGTAAGGCGATGCTCATGAATTTGACATAGTTTCTCTTCTTCTGGCCACAGTATGACATTCTCTGGAGCTTGTGGTCAGAGCTTTTCTGGATATAAATATAGATGCCATCTAATATGGCAGTGGCTTTATCTCCAAAAAATGCTTCTGAAAAGACAGTATTGTGCCCGAGCAATTGTTCTCTTGTCAAGTGATCCGGACCAACAAATTGTGGGACTATCGATGTGTCTAATGCCTGTACTATGGAGTGGAAAGTTTTGGACACACTTGACTACGAAATTCCAAAAAGAGAAGAACACTGACTCCAGGAAATGTCGGTTTTCAGTTTTACCCAGAACAGTAATAGAGCATCGTGTGTAGTCTTGGTATATATACCAGATGAAAGATATGGGGAACAGTGCGAGTGGATTTCGAGGAACTGATCTTTGGACCAACCTGTCCAGGCCCATGCATGCCGAGTCATCAAGAGAAGAAAAGCTTATTGTAAACGCAGACTGGTTCTGTGAAAGGACGTGCGACACCTCTAGGAGGTCATTAATGATTTCGGACGATTTTGATGGTAACTGAGATTCCAAGGAACCTCTACCATCAAGGACAGCCTCTGTAGACGGATCTAAGTCGTTACCAATAAGGTGAATGGAGCAGATGTGGGATAAGGTGGGACACCACAGTTTGTGTGAATAGATCAGGTGATGTCTTGCACGTTTTGGTAAGACTGATGATTTTGTTCCATTTTTTGGAAAGGTAACAAGACAGAGACAGCATTTTTTGTGTGAATATGATCCATTCAAAAGATCATGAAGGGTCAGCAACGGCAGGATATGGGACGGGGAGTCGTCTTCGTCCTCTATTTCCTGGTTCTGCTCGGGTTCAGGTTCAGGCTGATTTTTGTTCCGAAGATACTTCATGTAGCACTTCTGGCAAATAAATGCTTGTTCCTTGTTGCACCAGCGTATCTAGGAGCCATTTATATTGTGGACTATTTACATTGCGTGCACGTTTGTTCTTATTGCCACTACGTTTCTTGAAGTATACTTGACACTCTTCTCCAACACATTTACCCTCCATCTTGAAACAATAACGATTGGTTTATGAAGCGTCGATAAAGTAACAAAATAGCAAGCCACCGATGATTGCTGTAAACAGTTAATACTTAGTAGTTCGGTACAATTATGCGAAAATGTGTGATAAATAACGAACAACTAATTACACAAAATAACAAGACAATATAATAAATCACATTCAATACCTCCAAGAAGTGCAGAATTGATTGATTACTTAGAACAAAATAAAGTATTTCATATGGATAATCTATCTATTCGATGTGGCGTGGTCAGCAGGCACAAAGAAAGTGAGACAAGTCAGGGTCCCAACCCTGACAGAGCCACAACGCTTTGGAGATGGGACAATAAAACAAGGAAATTGAGACAAGAATTGCTAGCGTCGAGTGAATGATTTCGTAAACATATAGACAAAGACATGAAGATACGGATAAATGTACAAGGCCACACGATCAGAAAATTCAGAAGAGGACAGCTTGAGATAGAACAGTATTCATGTATCAGGGTGTCCTCAGTGTAAATCTTTAAATCGATACTATTTATTTAGTCGTTACACATCATAAAACTGTCATGAAAATATCCGCTCTGATATTCAATATAAAAGTTTATATATAATAAGCTATATAATAGGGTTTCAGACAAGGTTGTTACTCATTTCCCCTTTTTCTTTCAATTTACAACCACATTCAGGCAGCGATATGAGAACGTTCCACCACATGGAATTAGCTGATTTTTGGTACAGATATGAAACAAGTTAAGCTCTATCCGATTTTCTGGAAATTTGCATCCAAAACTATATAACGGGAGAAAATTGCAAATTTATGGCATTTTTCTTCATAATTGTGTCTCTGCAAGTGCATTTTCATCCGAGAATTTTTTTTTTTTATGTTTTATGAATAAACACGATGTTTTGGAAATATTTATCAAAAGAAATTTATACTATGTTGCGAATTACAAATTCGAGATAACCTTCTTTTATTTACGAACTTCTTTTATTTACGAACTTATGTCTTTGATGCTGAAATTGACAACTTTATAAAAATACATTTTCACTGAAATTATGAAATCTGGGTGTCGGAAAGGTGTAAAATTATTTTTCGGAAAAGAAAATAACAGTAGTTGAGCTAGATAAGAAATTATACGGGGGCAGGCTCCTATGGAGAATTAACACTACTGGAAACAGGCCCTTTGTGTTACTGTTAGGTTGTGTTTCCATTAATTTGTATTATCATTAATTTGTGTTACTGTTAGGTTGTGTTTCCATTAATTTGTATTATCATTAATTTGAGTTACTGTTAGGTTGTGTTACTATTGATTTGAGTTACTGTTAGGTTGTGTTACTATTGATTTGAGTTACTGTTAGTTTGTGTTACTATTGATTTGTGTTACTGTTAGGTTGTGTTACTATTGATTTGTGTTACTGTTAGGTTGTGTTACTATTGATTTGTGTTACTGTTAGTTTGTGTTACTATTGATTTGAGTTACTGTTAGTTTGTGTTACTATTGATTTGAGTTACTGTTAGTTTGTGTTACTATTGATTTGAGTTACTGTTAGTTTGTGTTACTATTGATTTGAGTTACTGTTAGTTTGTGTTACTATTGATTTGTGTTACTGTTAGGTTGTGTTACTATTGATTTGTGTTACTGTTAGGTTGTGTTACTATTGATTTGTGTTACTGTTAGGTTGTGTTACTATTGATTTGTGTTACTGTTAGGTTGTGTTACTATTGATTTGAGTTACTGTTAGGTTGTGTTACTATTGATTTGAGTTACTGTTAGTTTGTGTTACTATTGATTTGAGTTACTGTTAGTTTGTGTTTCCATAAGGTTGTTTTACCATGACTTTGTGCTATTACAGTATGCTATAGACAACCTTGTGCGGATTCTTGCATTTGAAAACAGTTCAGAAGCAGCAGATTTTTGTCAGTTTTATGGACTGAGGGCAAATACCAGTACAGTGATTTTAAATCGATCAGACTTCATACAGCCAGAAAACAACTGGCTGCCTCGACGAGCAGAAAGACTCATAGAGTCAAAACGACTCATTAGCATTGGTGAGGTAAGAGTTATTTCAGCCATTTTTTCATTGTAAGTGTTGCATTTAGTTGCCATGGATATCATCATATATTCAGTATTTCAGTTTTTGCTAAAATGGAGCTTCACCAACTAACCATGCATAGGACATGAACATTTGACAAGTTGGAGAGGGTTCAGTTTGGTGAACATCGTGGATCTATTGAGACTGATTGTGTGATTCTGGGAGGGTTTGGTGAACATTGTGGATCTATTGAGGCTCTGATTGTGTGATTCTGGGAGGGTTTGGTGAACATTGTGGATCTATTGAGACTCTGATGGTGTGATTCTGGGAGGGTTTGGTGAACATTGTGGATCTATTGAGACTCTGATGGTGTGATTCTGGGAGGGTTTGGTGAACATCGTAGATCTATTGAGGCTCTGATGGTGTGATTCTGGGAGGGTTTGGTGAACATTGTGGATCTATTGAGACTCTGATGGTGTGATTCTGGGAGGGTTTGGTGAACATTGTGGATCTATTGAGGCTCTGATTGTGTGATTCTGGGAGGGTTTGGTGAACATCGTGGATCTATTGAGGCTCTGATGGTGTGATTCTGGGAGGGTTTGGTGAACATCGTGGATCTATTGAGGCTCTGATGGTGTGATTCTGGGAGGGTTTGGTGAACATTGTGGATCTATTGAGACTGATTTGGTGAACATTGTGGATCTATTGAGACTGATTGTGTGATTCTGGGAGGGTTTGGTGAACATTGTGGATCTATTGAGACTGATTGTGTGATTCTGGGAGGGTTTGGTGAACATCGTAGATCTATTGAGGCTCTGATGGTGTGATTCTGGGAGGGTTTGGTGAACATTGTGGATCTATTGAGACTGATTGTGTGATTCTGGGAGGGTTTGGTGAACATTGTGGATCTATTGAGACTCTGATTGTGTGATTCTGGGAGGGTTTGGTGAACATAGTGGATCTATTGAGTCTCTGAGGGAGATAGGAGGAGCTCAAGTATGAACTAAAGTAACTGTTTGGACTGTGGGTGTGATTCTGGGAGGGTTTGGTGAACATCGTGGATCTATTATTGAGACTCTGATGGTGTGATTCTGGGAGGGTTTGGTGAACATCGTGGATCTATTGAGACTCTGATGGTGTGATTCTGGGAGGGTTTGGTGAACATCGTGGATCTATTGAGGCTCTGATGGTGTGATTCTGGGAGGGTTTGGTGAACATCGTGGATCTATTGAGACTCTGATGGTGTGATTCTGGGAGGGTTTGGTGAACATTGTGGATCTATTGAGGCTCTGATTGTGTGATTCTGGGAGGGTTTGGTGAACATCGTAGATCTATTGAGGCTCTGATTGTGTGATTCTGGGAGGGTTTGGTGAACATTGTGGATCTATTGAGACTGATTGTGTGATTCTGGGAGGGTTTGGTGAACATTGTGGATCTATTGAGGCTCTGATTGTGTGATTCTGGGAGGGTTTGGTGAACATTGTGGATCTATTGAGACTGATTGTGTGATTCTGGGAGGGTTTGGTGAACATTGTGGATCTATTGAGGCTCTGATTGTGTGATTCTGGGAGGGTTTGGTGAACATCGTGGATCTATTGAGGCTCTGATGGTGTGATTCTGGGAGGGTTTGGTGAACATTGTGGATCTATTGAGACTGATTGTGTGATTCTGGGAGGGTTTGGTGAACATTGTGGATCTATTGAGGCTCTGATGGTGTGATTCTGGGAGGGTTTGGTGAACATCGTGGATCTATTGAGGCTCTGATGGTGTGATTCCATTCTGTACAGTACAATAACCTTTTGTCACATCTACACTGCATATGTCCAGTTGAATACAGAAAGAAACTTTCTAGAGTACAAATTATTTTGGTAAAAGGAAAAATTGAAAAGACAAATGTATGCTGAAAAAGAAATCTGCATTGTCTGGTTAGCACATCGTTTCTATCTTATACACTGCAAAAGTTGTCAGAGAGTAGGCTTGTCTGATAGTGTTTACAACTGATATGTTTAATGACATGGTGTTTTCATTAATCTTTTTAAAAACAAACTCTGTTAATGTTTCCATTTGTTTGATTTAAAATAACATCAGGAGACAGTCACCTACACAGATATATATTGGTGTTACCATTGTGGTTCGCAAGGAAAAAACCTACTAAAAGCTCTAGGTTCATTCCAATCCAGTAAAATGATAACCTTGACTGTATTTGTTGCAGGTGATAAATGGGGCAGCTTTGCCACCTCTCTCTTTACCATCACCATCCTTCAGTTTTGATGATAATGGCAAGTTTATGGCAAATATTGGTATCTCCATGACAGGTGAGTGTAAAACCAGATAAATACACTAATCATAGAAAGTATTAGTTCCAACATACAATTGGTCACCTATGTGACAAAGTTGTAGGACTTTGATAGGAATGTGATCAATTTACACTATTTCTAAAATAAACTTCTTTTGAAGAGCATACCTGGTAATTGTGTCACAACATAGCTGCCTAAGGTATGAAAAGAACTGATTTAGTGAAAATGTTTTTTCTCTTCACAATTTACACATTGAATGTATAAAGATTGTCACCACTAAAAACATACCAAAAGAAAAATACTTCTAGGTTTAGTTTGATTATGATCTCCCCTGTTAATGAAATATGGCTGTGGTCTCCCCTCTCAACTTCGCTAGATAGTGATCTCCCCTCTCAATTTCACTCAATAGTGATCTCCCCTCTCAATTTCACTAGATAGTGATCTCCCCTCTCAATTTCACTAGATAGTGATCTCCCCTCTCAATTTCACTAGATATTTATCTCCCCTCTCAATTTCACTAGATAGTGATCTCCCCTCTCAATTTCACTAGATAGTGATCTCCCCTCTCAATTTCACTAGATAGAGATCTCCCCTCTCAATTTCACTAGAGAGAGATCTCCCCTCTCAATTTCACTAGAGAGTGATCTCCCCTCTCAATTTCACTAGATAGTGATCTCCCCTATTAGTTTCAGTATACCAGTTATCTCCCCTATTAGTTTCAGTTTACCAGTGATTTCCCCTATTAGTTTCAGTATACCAGTTATCTCCCCTATTAGTTTCATTATACCAGTGATCTCCCCTATTAGTTTCAGTATACCAGTGATTTCCCCTATTAGTTTCAGTATACCAGTGATCTCCCTATTAGTTTCAGTATACCAGTTATCTCCCCTCTTAGTTTCAGTATACCAGTTATCTCCCCTATTAGTTTCAGTTTACCAGTGATCTCCCCTATTAGTTTCAGTATACCAGTGATCTCCCTATTAGTTTCAGTTTACCAGTGATCTCCCTATTAGTTTCAGTATACCAGTGATCTCCCCTATTAGTTTCAGTATACCAGTGATCTCCCTATTAGTTTCAGTATACCAGTGATCTCCCCTATTAGTTTCAGTATACCAGTGATCTCCCTATTAGTTTCAGTTTACCAGTGATCTCCCCTATTAGTTTCAGTATACCAGTGATCTCCCCTAGTTTCAGTTTACCAGTTTACCCAGTGTTTCAGTTTACCATCTCCCTATTAGTTTCAGTTTACCAGTGATCTCCCCTATTAGTTTCAGTATACCAGTGATCTCCCTATTAGTTTCAGTATACCAGTTATCTCCCCTATTAGTTTCAGTTTACCAGTTATCTCCCCTATTAGTTTCAGTATACCAGTGATCTCCCTATTAGTTTCAGTATACCAGTGATCTCCCCTATTAGTTTCAGTTTACCAGTGATTTCCCCTATTAGTTTCAGTTTACCAGTGATCTCCCCTATTAGTTTCAGTATACCAGTGATCTCCCCTATTAGTTTCAGTATACCAGTGGTTACAAAATTAGAGATCTAGTCACTGTAACATGAGCTAGTCTAGATATTGTTTGTGGCTTTAACTGATATGTAAGGGTTGTTTGTTTATAATTAAATTTATGGTTTAGATATGGCTGACTCTCCTTGTGCCCTGTCGGTAAAGCCAGATATAGATTCCACATCGCCAGCAACTGCTCCACCCCCATACCCAGGTCCCAGCGGTAGTCGGCCAGGGATCAAGATAGAATCAGCATTGGAATTCAAACCACAAACAACTATCCAGACAGTACCAACAATATTACAAGCTGCACCACCCCAGCAACAAAAGTTCACTAACTTGGTAAATAGAACCTTTCTGCTTCAGAAGGATGGATTTTGTATAATAATGATGTAAAAGTCTGAATTTATTAATAATATATCTAAAGTATCTCTTCCTGTCTCGCCAAGGTATACATTCATTCTCTAGTGTCTGTTCCTCATCATATAGTGTTTGTTCCTCATCATATAGTGTCTCTTCCTCATTGTATAGTGTCTCTTCCTCATTGTATAGTGTCTCTTCCTCATTGTAAAGTGTCTCTTCCTCATTGTATAGTGTCTCTTCCTCATCGTATAGTGTCTCTTCCTCATTGTATAGTGTCTCTTCCTCATTGTATAGTGTCTCTTCCTCATTGTATAGTGTCTCTTCCTCATTGTATAGTGTCTCTTCCTCATTGTATAGTGTCTCTTCCTCATCATATAGTGTTTGTTCCTCATCATATAGTGTCTCTTCCTCATCGTATAGTGTCTCTTCCTCATTGTATAGTGTCTCTTCCTCATTGTATAGTGTCTCTTCCTCATTGTTCTCTTCCTCATATAGTGTCTGTTCCTCATTGTATAGTGTCTCTTCCTCATTGTATAGTGTCTGTTCCTCATTGTAAAGTGTCTCTTCCTCATTGTATAGTGTCTGTTCCTCATTGTAAAGTGTCTCTTCCTCATTGTATAGTGTCTCTTCCTCATTGTATAGTGTCTCTTCCTCATTGTATAGTGTCTCTTCCTCATCATATAGTGTCTGTTCCTCATCATATAGTGTCTGTTCCTCATCATATAGTGTCTGTTCCTCATCATATAGTGTCTGTTCCTCATCATATAGTGTCTCTTCCTCATTGTATAGTGTCTCTTCCTCATTGTATAGTGTCTCTTCCTCATTGTAAAGTGTCTCTTCCTCATCATATAGTGTCTCTTCCTCATTGTATAGTGTCTCTTCCTCATTGTATAGTGTCTGTTCCTCATTGTATAGTGTCTCTTCCTCATCATATAGTGTCTCTTCCTCATTGTATAGTGTCTCTTCCTCATCATATAGTGTCTCTTCCTCATCATATAGTGTCTGTTCCTCATTGTAACGTGTCTCTTCCTCATTGTATAGTGTCTCTTCCTCATCTCTTCCTCATCATATAGTGTCTCTTCCACATCATATTCTTTCCTCATTGTATAGTGTCTCTTCCTCATTGTATAGTGTCTCTTCCTCATCATATAGTGTCTGTTCCTCATTGTAACGTGTCTCTTCCTCATTGTATAGTGTCTCTTCCTCATTGTATAGTGTCTGTTCCTCATCATATAGTGTCTGTTCCTCATTGTATAGTGTCTCTTCCTCATTGTATAGTGTCTGTTCCTCATCATATAGTGTCTGTTCCTCATCATATAGTGTCTGTTCCTCATTGTAACGTGTCTCTTCCTCATCATATAGTGTCTGTTCCTCATTGTATAGTGTCTGTTCCTCATCATATAGTTTCTGTTCCTCATTGTATAGTGTCTGTTCCTCATTGTATAGTGTCTCTTCCTCATCATATAGTGTCTGTTCCTCATTGTAAAGTGTCTCTTCCTCATTGTATAGTGTCTCTTCCTCATCATATAGTGTCTGTTCCTCATTGTAAAGTGTCTCTTCCTCATTGTATAGTGTCTGTTCCTCATCATATAGTGTCTGTTCCTCATCATATAGTGTCTCTTCCTCATCATATAGTGTCTGTTCCTCATCGTATAGTGTCTGTTCCTCATTGTAAAGTGTCTGTTCCTCATTGTATAGTGTCTCTTCCTCATCATATAGTGTCTGTTCCTCATCATATAGTGTCTGTTCCTCATCATATAGTGTCTGTTCCTCATCATATAGTGTCTGTTCCTCATTGTATAGTGTCTGTTCCTCATCATATAGTGTCTGTTCCTCATCATATAGTGTCTGTTCCTCATCATATAGTGTCTGTTCTTCATTGTATAGTGTCTGTTCCTCATCATATAGTGTCTGTTCCTCATCATATAGTGTCTGTTCCTCATCATATAGTGTCTCTTCCTCATCATATAGTGTCTGTTCCTCATCATATAGTGTCTGTTCCTCATCATATAGTGTCTGTTCCTCATCATATAGTGTCTGTTCCTCATTGTATAGTGTCTGTTCCTCATCATATAGTGTCTGTTCCTCATTGTATAGTGTCTCTTCCTCATCATATAGTGTCTGTTCCTCATTGTATAGTGTCTGTTCCTCATCATATAGTGTCTGTTCCTCATCATATAGTGTCTGTTCCTCATCATATAGTGTCTGTTCCTCATATAGTGTCTGTTCCTCATTGTATAGTGTCTGTTCCTCATCATATAGTGTCTGTTCCTCATCATATAGTGTCTCTTCCTCATTGTATAGTGTCTGTTCCTCATCATATAGTTTCTGTTCCTCATCATATAGTGTCTGTTCCTCATCATATAGTGTCTGTTCCTCATCATATAGTGTCTGTTCCTCATTGTATAGTGTCTGTTCCTCATTGTATAGTGTCTGTTCCTCATCATATAGTGTCTGTTCCTCATCATATAGTGTCTCTTCCTCATCATATAGTGTCTGTTCCTCATTGTATAGTGTCTCTTCCTCATCATATAGTGTCTGTTCCTCATTGTATAGTGTCTGTTCCTCATCATATAGTGTCTCTTCCTCATCATATAGTGTCTCTTCCTCATCATATAGTGTCTCTTCCTCATCATATAGTGTCTCTTCCTCATCATATAGTGTCTGTTCCTCATTGTATAGTGTCTGTTCCTCATCATATAGTGTCTCTTCCTCATCATATAGTGTCTGTTCTTCCTCATCTCTTCCTCATCATATAGTGTCTGTTCCTCATTGTAACATGTCTCTTCCTCATTGTATAGTGTCTCTTCCTCATCATATAGTGTCTCTTCCTCATCATATAGTGTCTCTTCCTCATTGTAACGTGTCTCTTCCTCATTGTATAGTGTCTGTTCCTCATCATATAGTGTCTGTTCCTCATCATATAGTGTCTGTTCCTCATCATATAGTGTCTGTTCCTCATCATATAGTGTCTGTTCCTCATCATATAGTGTCTCTTCCTCATCATATAGTGTCTCTTCCTCATCATATAGTGTCTCTTCCTCATCATATAGTGTCTGTTCCTCATCATATAGTGTCTGTTCCTCATCATATAGTGTCTCTTCCTCATCATATAGTGTCTGTTCCTCATTGTAACGTGTCTCTTCCTCATTGTATAGTGTCTCTTCCTCATCATATAGTGTCTGTTCCTCATCATATAGTGTCTGTTCCTCATTGTATAGTGTCTGTTCCTCATCATATAGTTCATCATATAGTGTCTGTTCCTCATCATATAGTGTCTGTTCCTCATTGTATAGTGTCTGTTCCTCATCATATAGTGTCTGTTCCTCATCATATAGTGTCTGTTCCTCATTGTATAGTGTCTGTTCCTCATCATATAGTGTCTGTTCCTCATTGTAAAGTGTCTGTTCCTCATTGTATAGTGTCTCTTCCTCATCATATAGTGTCTGTTCCTCATTGTATAGTGTCTCTTCCTCATCATATAGTGTCTCTTCCTCATCATATAGTGTCTGTTCTTCATTGTAACGTGTCTCTTCCTCATTGTATAGTGTCTCTTCCTCATCATATAGTGTCTGTTCCTCATTGTATAGTGTCTGTTCCTCATCATATAGTGTCTCTTCCTCATCATATAGTGTCTGTTCCTCATTGTATAGTGTCTGTTCCTCATCATATAGTGTAGTGTCTGTTCCTCATCATATAGTGTCTGTTCTTTCTCATAGTGTCTCATTGTATAGTGTCTCTTCCTCATCATATAGTTTCTTCATTGTCTGTTCCTCATCATATAGTGTCTCTTCCTCATTGTATAGTGTCTCTTCCTCATCATATAGTGTCTCTTCCTCATTGTATAGTTTATCACCCAGGTACACATTCAGTGTGTAATGTTCCTTCTTGTCACTTATCACCCAGGTACACATTCAGTGTGTAATGTTTCTTCCTGTCATCGATCACCCAGGTACACATCACCCAGGTCAGTGTGTAATGTTTCTTCCTCATCATATAGTGTCTGTTACTTCCTGTCAGGTACACATTCAGTGTGTAATGTCTCTTCCTGTCATATCACTGGTACACATTCAGTGTGTAATGTTTCTTCCTGTCATGATCACCCAGGTACACATTCAGTGTGTAATGTTACTTCCTCATTGTATAGTGTCTCTTCCTCATGTTCCTCATAGGTACACATTCAGTGTGTAATGTTTCTTCCTGTCACTTGATCACCCAGGTACACATTCCAGTGTGTAATGTTTCTTCTTCACTCACATATAGTGTGTAATGTTTCTTCCTGTCACTTCTCACCCAGGTACAGTGTGTAATGTTTCTTCCTGTGTGTATTCAGTGTGTATGTTTCTTCCTGTCATCATATATCACCCAGGTACACATTCAGTGTGTAATGTTTCTTCCTGTCACTATAGTGTCTCTTCCAGGTACACATTCAGTGTGTAATGTTACTTCCTCATCTTCCTTTCACTCATTACACATTCAGTGTGTAATGTTTCTCTGTCATCGATCACCCAGGTACACATTCAGTGTGTAATGTTTCTTCCTGTCATCGATCACCCAGGTACACATTCAGTGTGTAATGTTTCTTCCTGTCATCGATCACCCAGGTACACATTCAGTGTGTAATGTTTCTTCCTGTCACCGATCACCCAGGTACACATTCAGTGTGTAATGTTCCTTCTTGTCACTTATCACCCAGGTACACATTCAGTGTGTAATGTTTCTTCCTGTCATCGATCACCCAGGTACACATTCAGTGTGTAATGTTTCTTCCTGTCACCGATCACCCAGGTACACATTCAGTGTGTAATGTTTCTTCCTGTCACCGATCACCCAGGTACACATTCAGTGTGTAATGTTTCTTCCTGTCACTGATCACCCAGGTACACATTCAGTGTGTAATGTTTCTTCCTGTCACTTATCACCCAGGTACACATTCAGTGTGTAATGTTTCTTCCTGTCACTGATCACCCAGGTACACATTCAGTGTGTAATGTTTCTTCCTGTCACTGATCACCCAGGTACACATTCAGTGTGTAATGTTTCTTCCTGTCACTGATCACCCAGGTACACATTCAGTGTGTAATGTTTCTTCCTGTCACCGATCACCCAGGTACACATTCAGTGTGTAATGTTTCTTCCTGTCACTGATCACCCAGGTACACATTCAGTGTGTAATGTTTCTTCCTGTCACTTATCACCCAGGTACACATACAGTGTGTAAAGTAACTTCCAGTCACTGATCCCCCAGGTACACATTCAGTGTGTAATGTTTCTTCCTGTCATCGATCACCCAGGTACACATTCAGTGTGTAATGTTACTTCCTGTCACTACACATTCAGTGTGTAATGTTTCTTCCTGTCACTGATCACCCAGGTACACATTCAGTGTGTAATGTTTCTTCCTGTCACTGATCACCCAGGTACACATTCAGTGTGTAATGTTTCTTCCTGTCACTGATCACCCAGGTACACATTCAGTGTGTAATTTTTCCTCCTGTCACTTATCACCCAGGTACACATTCAGTGTGTAATGTTTCTTCCTGTCACTGATCACCCAGGTACACATTCAGTGTGTAATGTTACTTCCTGTCACTTATCACCCAGGTACACATTCAGTGTGTAATGTTTCTTCCTGTCACTTATCACCCAGGTACACATTCAGTGTGTAATGTTACTTCCTGTCACTTATCACCCAGGTACACATTCAGTGTGTAATGTTTCTTCCTGTCACTGATCACCCAGGTACACATTCAGTGTGTAATGTTTCTTCCTGTCATCGATCATTCAGGTACACATTCAGTGTGTAATGTTTCTTCCTGTCATCGATCACCCAGGTACACATTCAGTGTGTAATGTTTCTTCCTGTCATCGATCACCCAGGTACACATTCAGTGTGTAATGTTTCTTCCTGTCATCGATCACCCAGGTACACATTCAGTGTGTAATGTTTCTTCCTGTCATCGATCACCCAGGTACACATTCAGTGTGTAATGTTTCTTCCTGTCACCGATCACCCAGGTACACATTCAGTGTGTAATGTTTCTTCCTGTCACCGATCACCCAGGTACACATTCAGTGTGTAATGTTTCTTCCTGTCACCGATCACCCAGGTACACATTCAGTGTGTAATGTTTCTTACTGTCACCGATCACCCAGGTACACATTCAGTGTGTAATGTTACTTCCTGTCACTGATCACCCAGGTACACATTCAGTGTGTAATGTTTCTTCCTGTCACTGATCACCCAGGTACACATTCAGTGTGTAATGTTTCTTCCTGTCACTGATCACCCAGGTACACATTCAGTGTGTAATGTTTCTTCCTGTCACTGATCACCCAGGTACACATTCAGTGTGTAATGTTTCTTCCTGTCACCAATCACCCAGGTACACATTCAGTGTGTAATGTTTCTTCCTGTCATCGATCACCCAGGTACACATTCAGTGTGTAATGTTTCTTCCTGTCACTGATCACCCAGGTACACATTCAGTGTGTAATGTTTCTTCCTGTCACTGATCACCCAGGTACACATTCAGTGTATAATGTTACTTCCTGTCACTGATCACCCAGGTACACATTCAGTGTGTAATGTTTCTTCCTGTCACTTATCACCCAGGTACACATTCAGTGTGTAATGTTTCTTCCTGTCACTGATCACCCAGGTACACATTCAGTGTGTAATGTTTCTTCCTGTCACCGATCACCCAGGTACACATTCAGTGTGTAATGTTTCTTCCTGTCACTTATCACCCAGGTACACATTCAGTGTGTAATGTTTCTTCCTGTCACTGATCACCCAGGTACACATTCAGTGTGTAATGTTACTTCCTGTCACTGATCACCCAGGTACACATTCAGTGTGTAATGTTTCTTCCTGTCACTGATCACCCAAGTACACATTCAGTGTGTAATGTTTCTTCCTGTCATCGATCACACACATTCAGTGTGTAATGTTTCTTCCTGTCACTGATCACCCAGGTACACATTCAGTGTTCTGAGATAGGTGAATACATACCCCATACCTTTATTTAAGGAAGTACACTGATATTTATAAAAATATCAATTTTTCTGCTAGATCATAGATCAAATTGATTTTTAAAATTATAATAAGCATAAATCCCTGCTTCTTGAGAACTCTGATGTGGGAAATAACAGAGTAAGCTGTACAGGTTGTTTGTATGTTTAGGATGTGAAGGAATGTGCGAAGTTGCTGTTCTGGGAGGTGATTGACGACTTCTGCACTCAAGTGTCTAATGAGGTTTCCAATGACGTGCAGACTTACCTGGACCAAAGTAATGCTATTGTACACTCTCTGGTAGAAGAGGTCCTTCATCAGAACGTCAGGTGAGTGGTCAGGTATCTAACGAGGTAAGCAGTGATATTCAGACTTACCTGGTCCTCTGTGGTGGAGGACGTCCTTCATCAGAATGTCAGGTGAGTGGTCAGGTATCTAACGAAGTAAACAGTGATATTCAGACTTACCTGGTCTTTTGTGGTGGAGGAGGTCAAACAGTCTTACCTGGTCCACTGTGGTGGAGGACGTCCTGGGATTGTCCTGACCAAATCTTATTTTTTGCTTTGGTTCAAAATCCAACGTAACTCATCTAGGACAAATAGTCTGAACTACTTCTCAAGTTTTTTTCACACCAATGAGAAGAATATTTGTAATTTGATTTTTTTTTTTTTTTTTTTTGAAAGAAAAGAAATAGATGATTTGTTGTTACTTTTCAGTCTGATCAAAACTTCAACATGGTAACTACAATAGCCATTTTGTTACATGATGGTGCAACTGTTGTTCATGCACAGAACCTACCATTTACGAGTTTCTGATAATTTCAAGGAATGTTCAAAATTTGAATTCATCAGATTTGTCAGGATGATTTGATTTGAAGTCCTATTTTTTAATGTGGTAATATCTGTCATAAGAATGATGATCAATTAGATAAACACATTTGACTGATTCACAGATGTTTAATTTGATATAAACAGAGCCCTGTCCATCGCCTACTACAATGAAGTCCAGGTCCTTCGACAACGTCAACTCAAACAAGAGAGGGAAGCTGCACTGAAGAGGGCCATGGCTACACTGGTGTCAGAGGTTATCAAAGATGTGACCAATCAGGAGTTGCTCAACCTCGCCACAGCCAAGGTCAGGTAAGAATTGTGGTTGTTCCAGTAAAGCATGGTTAATTAATAGCTACAGTGCTGATAACTGAGAGGTCTACATCAATGTCACTACCATACTAATTCTAGTCAGGTAAAGGTCATATGAACCTTCCATACTTATTCAAGTAAGTTCAAGGTCATTAACTAGCTTCCATCCTTTTTCCAGTAAGGTCAAGGTCAATTTGTCGCAGCCATAGCAATTCTGTTGAAATCAAGGTCATTAAGTAGCTTCAATATTTCGAGTCAGGTGAAGGTCAATATGTAGTGACAATGATAATTCAGTTGTGGTCAAGATCAGTTTGTTGATGAACAAAGGAGGCTATCTTTAGTCAAAGTCAAATATATTTGCATTTCAAAAAGTCACATTTAAATGGACACCTGATGATCAGGTTTATTTTGTTCTCAGAGAAGTCAAGGCTGAACTGAAAGAACAACAGAAGGCACGATGTTCTGAAGATGTTGGTGAAGAACTAGTGGAAGATGTGATGGGAGAACTTGTACAATCTGTAGCATCAGACGTCTATCAGAAGGATGTAGTAGAACGACTGGAGGAGCTAGCAGACATCGAGAAATGTATCCAGCTCAGAATAGCTGGAAAGTTCCTACAAGCATGGAAAAAAGAATTCTCAGCTCGACAGAAACTTAAACGTGGTATGCTGACCTTCCCATCAGCTCCTGGTATGGACTCCGCAACAGAGCAAATAGATATTCTTATCCCTGACAGGAGGGAAGATGGCATTGTGGGAAACAGCTTCTCCATCAGTACTGATGGTAGGCTATCTCTGGCATCATCCATACAGCTGTCTGAGCAAAGATGGGTTGGAGCAAAGCTTCTTAGTGCCCATGAATTATATCAGAATCTTTGTCACTGCAAGGCTTGGCAGCCTTTTGATCTTGTGAAACATGTTGGAGGAATCCTACACAGAAAACACAAAGGTAAAGTTGTTGCCTTTTATATCCAAATCTATAAGTGAAAAGATTATGTCATTCATTCTGATTTTTATAAGGCATACAACACTGGCGTTCCTGATCACCTACGTTATTGGACTGCTTTTCTAGAGGAGCACAAAGTAAGCAGAAATCAAATAAATTGGTAGAGTAAAATAAAGTGGTGAATTTTTCAGAGTAATTTTTGTTATTTTCATCAATGTTAATCACATTTGTGTAGCTTAATTTTTCAGTCTAAGTACTAAAGCAACAAATTCTTTGGTGTATTCTCTGTGACATTTGCTTACTGGAAATCATTTTCTGTTTACAGGTAATCTCCCCACCTCTATCTATTGGAAGTTGTTTTGTGTTTACAGGTAACCTACCTGCCTCTATCTACTGGAAATCATTTTCTGTTTACAGGTAATCTCCCCACTTCTATCTACTGGAAATTGTTTTGTGTTTACAGGTAACCTACCTGCCTCTATCTACTGGAAATCATTTTCTGTTTACAGGTAATCTCCCCACCTCTATCTACTGGAAATTGTTTTGTGTTTACAGGTAACCTACCTGCCTCTATCTACTGGAAATTGTTTTGTGTTTGCTTCTATCTACTGGAAATTGTTTTGTGTTTACAGGTAACCTACCTGCCTCTATCTACTGGAAATTGTTTTGTGTTTACAGGTAAACTCCCCACTTCTATCTACTGGAAATTGTTTTGTGTTTACAGGTAACCTACCTGCCTCTATCTACTGGAAATTGTTTTGTGTTTACAGGTAATCTCCCCACCTCTATCTACTGGAAATTGTTTTTTGTTTACAGGTAATCTCCCCACCTCTATCTACTGGAAATTGTTTTGTGTTTACAGGTAAACTACCCTCCTCTATCTACTGGAAATTGTTTTGTGTTTACAGGTAATCTCCCCACCTCTATCTACTGGAAATTGTTTTGTGTTTACAGGTAACCTACCTGCCTCTATCTACTGGAAATTGTTTTGTGTTTACAGGTAATCTCCCCACCTCTATCTACTGGAAATTGTTTTGTGTTTACAGGTAACCTACCTGCCTCTATCTACTGGAAATTGTTTTGTGTTTACAGGTAATCTCCCCACCTCTATCTACTGGAAATTGTGTTGTGTTTACAGGTAATCTCCCCACCTCTATCTACTGGAAATTGTGTTGTGTTTACAGGTAATCTCCCCACCTCTATCTACTGGAAATTGTTTTGTGTTTACAGGTAACCTACCTGCCTCTATCTACTGGAAATTGTTTTGTGTTTACAGGTAATCTCCCCACCTCTATCTACTGGAAATTGTTTTGTGTTTACAGGTAATCTCCCCACCTCTATCTACTGGAAATTGTTTTGTGTTTACAGGTAATCTCCCCACCTCTATCTACTGGAAATTGTTTTGTGTTTACAGGTAATCTCCCCACCTCTATCTACTGGAAATTGTTTTGTGTTTACAGGTAATCTTGTTTTGTGTTTACCTCCCCACCTCTATCTACTGGAAATTGTTTTGTGTTTACAGGTAATAACTCCCCACCTCTATCTACTGGAAATTGTTTTGTGTTTACAGGTAATCTCCCCACCTCTATCTACTGGAAATTGTTTTGTGTTTACAGGTAATCTCCCCACCTCTATCTACTGGAAATTGTTTTGTGTTTACAGGTAATCTCCCCACCTCTATCTACTGGAAATTGTTTTGTGTTTACAGGTAACCTACCTGCCTCTATCTACTGGAAATTGTTTTGTGTTTACAGGTAATCTCCCCACCTCTATCTACTGGAAATTGTTTTGTGTTTACAGGTAATCTCCCCACCTCTATCTACTGGAAATTGTTTTGTGTTTACAGGTAATCTCCCCACCTCTATCTACTGGAAATTGTTTTGTGTTTACAGGTAACCTACCTGCCTCTATCTACTGGAAATTGTTTTGTGTTTACAGGTAATCTCCCCACCTCTATCTACTGGAAATTGTTTTGTGTTTACAGGTAATCTCCCCACCTCTATCTACTGGAAATTGTTTTGTGTTTACAGGTAACCTACCTATCTACTGGAAATTGTTTTGTGTTTACAGGTAATCTCCCCACCTCTATCTACTGGAAATTGTTTTGTGTTTACAGGTAATCTCCCCACCTCTATCTACTGGAAATTGTTTTGTGTTTACAGGTAATCTCCCCACCTCTATCTACTGGAAATTGTTTTGTGTTTACAGGTAATCTCCCCACCTCTATCTACTGGAAATTGTTTTGTGTTTACAGGTAATCTCCCCACCTCTATCTACTGGAAATTGTTTTGTGTTTACAGGTAATCTCCCCACCTCTATCTACTGGAAATTGTTTTGTGTTTACAGGTAACCTACCTGCTTCTATCTACTGGAAATTGTTTTGTGTTTACAGGTAACCTACCTGCCTCTATCTACTGGAAATTGTTTTGTGTTTACAGGTAACCTACCTGCCTCTATCTACTGGAAATTGTTTTGTGTTTACAGGTAATCTCCCCACCTCTATCTACTGGAAATTGTGTTGTGTTTACAGGTAATCTCCCCACCTCTATCTACTGGAAATTGTTTTGTGTTTACAGGTAATCTCCCCACCTCTATCTACTGGAAGTTGTTTTGTGTTTACAGGTAATCTCCCCACCTCTATCTACTGGAAATTGTTTTGTGTTTACAGGTAATCTCCCCACCACTATCTACTGGAAATTGTTTTGTGTTTACAGGTAACCTACCTGCCTCTATCTACTGGAAATTGTTTTGTGTTTACAGGTAATCTCCCCACCTCTATCTACTGGAAATTGTTGCTCTGCCTGCCAGATCCAGATACCTGTGATACAGAAGGAGACAAAATTGCAACTTTTAACCTCAATATGTGGCTAAGATCAAAGTTCTCAAAAAGTTCAAAGACTACAGGTCAGGTAAGACAAAAAAAAATCACAGCTTATGTTTGTCTATAGAGTAATGGTTGATTTGGCATGGATAGGAATTTAATTAACTCATCTTGGTTTTATGGTTCAATGTTTTGAATAAAACAAAATGTCAGTGGTGTACTTCCTAATTGACTGTAGTTCTTTACAACCTCTACTTTTGATGAGGAGGGTTAATGTGCTGTACATTGTATGTTTTTATTAAGGAGGATGTTTTAAGTCTGTACAAAGCAGACATAGTCCAGGACAGTGACAGCTCAAAGTGTAAACTGTGTGTATGTGTGAGGGCCATCAAGGGGGCACAAATCCAAAGGAACAGACAGGGCGTGGAGGCTCTTATGGGGGTCAGTGGGATTATCCTGGTCCTACCCCCAGGCATGGATGATGATCCTGATTCTGTGAGTATAAAGGATAGGAACAGAGACTTGATGGCATCAGAATATCATTTTGTTGATGTGAGTGTGGTGGAGGAACAGGGGACCTTTATTGCTATATTATTGATCATGTGTTTCACCTTTATAGTTGTGGTTGAACTCCACAGTTGACAGTGTATTTGACCTCTATGTTTGACTGTGTATTTGACCTCTCTATTTGACAGTGTATTTGACCTCTCTATTTGACGTGTATTTGACCTCTCTATTTGACAGTGTATTTGACCTGTGTATTTGACATCTATATTTGACTGTGTATTAGACCTCTATATTTGACTGTGTATTTGACCTCTTTATTTGACAGTGTATTTGACCTCTATATTTGACTGTGTATTTGACCTCTATATTTGACTGTGTATTTGACCTCTATATTTGACTGTGTATTTGACCTCTATATTTGACTGTGTATTTGACCTCTATGTTTGACTGTGTATTTGACCTCTATAGCTGACCTTGTGATTTACTTTTGTGTCAACTACAGCAATACTGGAGGAGAGTGCATCAGAGACTTGACAGTATACTTAAGCTGAAGCCATGTAAACCAGCAGTATCCTTAGTCATCTTGTGTCCAGTGGCAGGTGGTCAGTCCATGGTCACTGACAATATGGTCCGCCAGACCATCATTGACAAGTACCCAAGTTTGGACAAAGTCGCCAATATCTACATTCTGGACATAGATTACAGGGATGACCTTGAAATGGGGTTTGACTTTGACAGTTTGTCGTTGTCAGCAGAGGTAAGAAATACTACTGTAAGGTTTTTTTACTGCAGTCTGGAGTATTAAAAGCTTAAAGCCCAAGTATTTGTCTCATTTTGGCAAGTTTTGGAGAAAATATCCACTTGATAATTATGCATAGATAACAATCCAATACATTTAGCTTAGTGATATGTATTTAGATAATCTAAATTTATAAAGTGGGTCCCACTAAAAATACAAACTGATAATATTCAAAGATCAAAAGGCATATAGATGCTTTTCCATCTTCTTCCTACAGGTTGAGGAGGCAGTACAATGGCTTGGAGAGGAATACCCAAACACACCACAATTGTGTGTCAACTACATACGTGACTTTATAGATACTACCCTGCACAATCTGTTCTACTCACCTGTACTCTACAACCTGAAGCAGAGGAAAATCAACAATTGTTTACACCAGGTAGGCGGTGAGTCAATAGATGAGACCACCAGGTAGGCAGTGGGTCAATAGATGAGACCACCAGGTAGGGGGGTGTCAATAGATGAGACCACCAGGTAGACGGTGGGTCAACAGATGAGACCACCAGGTAGGCAGAGTAGGGGGTGGGTCAATAGATGAGACCACCAGGTAGGCAAGGAGGTGGATAGGAGACCACCTGGTAGGCAGGAGGTTGATCAATAGATGATGAGACCACCAGGTAGGCAGAGTAGGGGGTGGGGAGGTGGATCAATAGATGAGACCATGAGGTAGGCAAGGAGGTGGATCAACAGATGAGACCACCAGGTAGGCAAGGAGGGGGGTCAATAGATGAGACCACCAGGTAGGGGGTGGGTCAATAGATGAGACCACCAGGTAGGGAGGGGATCAATAGATGAGACCACCTGGCAGAGAGGGGGGTCAATAGATGAGACCACCAGGTAGGCAAGGAGGTGGATCAACAGATGAGACCACCAGGTAGGCAAGGAGGTGGATCAACAGATGAGACCACCAGGTAGGCAAGGAGGTGGGTCAATAGATGAGACCACCAGGTAGGCAAGGAGGTTGATCAATAGATGAGACCACCAGGTAGGCAAGGAGGTGGATCAACAGATGAGACCACCAGGTAGGGAAGGGGGTCAATAGATTAGACCACCAGGTAGGGAGGGGGGGTCAATAGATGAGACCACCAGGTAGGCAAGGAGGTGGATCAACAGATGAGACCACCAGGTAGGCAAGGAGGTGATGAGACCACCAGGTAGGCAAGGAGGTTGATCAACAGATGAGACCACCAGGTAGGCAAGGAGGTGGATCAACAGATGAGACCACCAGGTAGGCAAGGAGGTGGATCAACAGATGAGACCACCAGGTAGGCAAGGAGGTGGATCAACAGATGAGACCACCAGGTAGGCAAGGAGGTGGATCAACAGATGAGACCACCAGGTAGGCAAGGAGGTGGATCAACAGATGAGACCACCAGGTAGGCAAGGAGGTGGATCAACAGATGAGACCACCAGGTAGGCAAGGAGGTGGATCAACAGATGAGACCACCAGGTAGGCAAGGAGGTGGATCAACAGATGAGACCACCAGGTAGGCAAGGAGGTGGATCAACAGATGAGACCACCAGGTAGGCAAGGAGGTGGATCAACAGATGAGACCACCAGGTAGGCAAGGAGGTGGATCAACAGATGAGACCACCAGGTAGGCAAGGAGGTGGATCAACAGATGAGACCACCAGGTAGGCAAGGAGGTTGATCAACAGATGAGACCACCAGGTAGGCAAGGAGGTGGATCAACAGATGAGACCACCAGGTAGGCAAGGAGGTGGATCAACAGATGAGACCACCAGGTAGGCGGGGAGGGGAGTCCTATTTACTATTTCCAAGATTGATTAAAATTTGATGATATTGTTGATAAGTGGCTGTATTTTTACTACAGAGACCGAGTGACTTGCTGACTCTATATAATGCTGTCATTAGCCACATGAAAGAAGTGATTACCTCCCCTAGATTGCTTGACCTCTCATGGCCAGTTCCAGAGTTCAGTCATTCAAATGCTGTCGAAGGTTAGAACATCAACATTTGTAGGTTTGATGGAAAATAATACTGATTTGAAAATTGGTGAAATAACAATATAAATTGTATAAAAGATATGATACATCCACAGTAGATCTTACTAGATGTTGCAAATTTTCAGAAAAATCGTAATTTAAAGTAGGATATATATTAAAGGGAGATAACACAGGTAAAAGGAGGTAACATATTCCCTTAACCCATGTGGCAGGGCTACCCACATCTTACTGGAATGATGAGGATCACCTGGAATATCTGGGCAGTATCATCCAGGAAATGGAGTTACCATGGTTACAGGACATTGACTTGGAAAATACGGACTGGTGTGAAGTGTGTGATGAGATTTGGGCTTTTGTCCGAAGTGTGGCTGGGGATGATCATGGATCAGCCAAAGTTGATCTGGTTTCCAAGTAAGTCTAGAGATTTGGAAAAAAGAAAAACAATATCCAAGAAATAAAAAAAATAAGTGAAAATGAGCCAGAAATCTGTTGATTGCCACTGCAGCATTGTAAGCTGGTATCTTTTTAAAGCATAACATTTGATGATTTCAAGAAAGTCTTCTCAAAGTCTAGACTCCATCCTATATATCCTCAGTGAAATCAAAGTCAACATTCCTTCCTATATATCCTCGGTGAAATCAAAGTCAACATTCCTTCCTATATATCCTCAGTGAAATCAAAGTCAACATTCCTTCCTATATATCCTCAGTGAAATCAAAGTCAACATTCCTTCCTATATATCCTCAGTGAAATCAAAGTCAACATTCCTTCCTATATATCCTCAGTGAAATCAAAGTCAACATTCCTTCCTATATATCCTCGGTGAAATCAAAGTCAACATTCCTTCCTATATATCCTCAGTGAAATCAAAGTCAACATTCCTTCCTATATATCCTCAGTGAAATCAAAGTCAACATTCCTTCCTATATATCCTCGGTAAAATCATATATCCTCAGTGTGAAATCAAAGTCAACATTCCTTCCTATATATCCTCAGTGAAATCAAAGTCAACATTCCTTCCTATATATCCTCAGTGAAATCAAAGTCAACATTCCTTCCTATATATCCTCAGTGAAATCAAAGTCAACATTCCTTCCTATATATCCTCAGTGAAATCAAAGTCAACATTCTTCCTATATATCCTCAGTGAAATCAAAGTTTTTCCTTCCTATATATCCTCAGTGAAATCAAAGTCAACATTCCTTTATATATCCTCTGAACAGAACTACAGGTACCATAAGATATGAACTTCTATTCTATTGACAACCCAAAGAAAATGTTCAGAAATTCATGTTGTATATTTAGGGTTGATGTATATCAAGCTTTTGCTGTGATTTAACAGGTTTTATGTAAAAAGTCCTGTTTGTCAAATAGTGTTTGAATTTACAGAATGCGCTTGTTGCTGAAGACAATAAGACAAGACTTTGAGGACACATGTTATCTTATGGAGGGTGAGAATCATTGTGAGCCAAGTTTTGAGAATGTGCCCTGGACAGATGTGATCACAGCATGTATAGAATACAGGATGACCTCCATTGGTTTTACAGACCCGCAGATTGATGATTCAGAGGTCAGATTTAATTCATAACAGTAAATTATATTGACTTATAGACCAAAATCATAATAAACATTCTTTTTTATAGATGTCTCACATCTGTGAAGATTGCCCATCCCCTGTTATAAAACCAGACAATAGACCTAATATTAGGAGAACAAGGGAGTATGAGTAATGTCAGGGTGTTAGTCTATCACTGGATGTTCAGATTGTTTTTAATTCTACTAAACAGCAATATATTTGGGTGGGCTTATTACTAGACATGGGCTTATTACCAGTCACAGGCTTATTGACTAGTCACAACCTGTCACAAGCTCATTACCAGCCACAAGCTTATTTCCACTCATAGGCTTATTACCAGACACAGGCTTATTACCAGACACAGGCTTATTACCAGACATAGGCTTATTACCAGACACAGGCTTATTACCAGACACAGGCTTATTACCAGATGAATGTATAAATATGGGTGAAGGTTTGGATTGTTCAAATGTTGCCAAAACCTAGTACATAACTGGATGTATTTTTCATAAAAGTCAGGAAAGAAATCTTCTGCTATTTTTTATATTATTTCTCTCCAATTTTTGCAATTTTTTTTCCATCCTTGAAAACTGCTTAAATAGAACTCTTCAAAGAATAGCAACCATTTGGTAGAAGTAAAGTTTATAGTAACCTAATGTTAGAAGTTAAGACTAGTTTATAGATTGTTTTTATAGGATGATGACCAGGAGTTAAAGGTGGTATATTTCAATGACCACTTACAGGCTTACAAATCCCCAGATACCTGGACATACCTGGAGAGTCAACGAGACATTACAGGTAAGATGGACTTTCAACCAAATATAACAGGAGAAATAGAAAGTAAGCAAGACATCTTGTGTAAGGTGTAGAGTCAGGGAGACATGTGTAAGGTGCAGAGTCAGGGAGACATCTTGTGTAAGGTGTACAGTCAGGGAGACATGTGTAAGGTGCAGAGTCAGGGAGACATCTTATGTAAGGTGTAGAGTCAGGGAGACATCTTATGTAAGATGTAGAGTCAGGGAGTCATGTGTAAGGTGTAGAGTCAGGGAGACATCTTATGTAAGGTGTAGAGTCAGGGAGACATCTTATGTAAGGTGTAGAGTCAGGGAGACATCTTGTGTGAGGTGTAGAGTCAGGGAGACATCTTGTGTAAGGTGTAGAGTCAGGGAGACATCTTATGTAAGGTGTAGAGTCAGGGAGACATGTGTAAGGTGTAGAGTCAGGGAGACATCTTGTGTAGGGTGCAGAGTCAGGGAGACATCTTATGTAAGGTGTAGAGTCAGGGAGACATCTTATGTAAGGTGTAGAGTCAGGGAGACATGTGTAAGGTGTAGAGTCAGGGAGACATCTTATGTAAGGTATAGAGTCAGGGAGACATGTGTAAGGTGTAGATTCAGAGAGACATCTTATGTAAGGTGTAGAGTCAGGGAGACATCTTATGTAAGGTGTAGAGTCAGGGAGACATCTTTAGTGTAAGGTGCAGAGAGTCAGGGAGACATCTTGTGTAAGGTGTAGAGTCAGGGAGACATCTTGTGTAAGGTGTAGAGTCAGGGAGACATCTTGTGTAAGGTGTAGAGTCAGGGAGACATCTTGTGTGAGGTGTAGAGTCAGGGAGACATCTTGTGTAAGGTGCAGAGTCAGGGAGACATCTTATGTACGGTGCAGAGACAGGGAGACATCTTGTGTGAGGTGTAGAGTCAGGGAGACATCTTGTGTAAAGTGCAGAGTCTGGGAGACATGTGTAAGGTGTAGAGTCAGGGAGACATCTTGTGTGAGGTGCAGAGTCAGGGAGACATCTTATGTAAGGTGTAGAGTTAGGGAGACATCTTATGTAAGCTGTAGAGTCAGGGAGACATCTTATGTAAGGTATAGAGTCAGGGAGACATGTGTAAGGTGTAGAGTCAGGGAGACATGTGTAAGGTGTAGATTCAGAGAGACATCTTATGTAAGGTGTAGAGTCAGGGAGACATCTTATGTAAGGTGTAGAGTCAGGGAGACATGTGTAAGGTGTAGAGTCAGGGAGACATCTTATGTAAGGTGTAGAGTCAGGGAGACATCTTATTTAAGGTGTAGAGTCAGGGAGACATCTTATGTAAGGTGTAGAGTCAGGGAGACATCTTATGTAAGGTGTAGAGTCAGGGAGACATGTGTAAGGTGCAGAGTCAGGAAGACATCTTGTGTGAGGTGTAGAGTCAGGGAGACATCTTGTGTGAGGTGTAGAATCAGGGAGACATCTTGTGTAAGGTGTAGAGTCAGGGAGACATCTTGTGTAAGGTGTAGAGTCAGGGAGACATCTTATGTAAGGTGTAGAGTCAGGGAGACATCTTGTGTAAGGTGCAGAGTCAGGGAGACATCTTATGTAAGGTGTAGAGTCAGGGAGACATGTGTAAGGTGTAGAGTCAGGGAGACATCTTATGTAAGGTGTAGAGTCAGGGAGACATGTGTAAGGTGCAGAGTCAGGGAGACATCTTGTGTGAGGTGTAGAGTCAGGGAGACATCTTGTGTGAGGTGTAGAGTCAGGGAGACATCTGGTGTAAGGTGCAGTCAGGGAGACATCTTATATAAGGTGCAGGTCAGGGAGACATTTTGTGTAAGATGCAGACTCAGGGAGACATTTTGTGTAAGGTGTAGAGTCAGGGAGACATCTTGTGTAAGGTGCAGAGTCAGGGAGACATCTGATGTAAGATATAGAGTCAGGGAGACATCTGTAAGGTGTAGAGTCAGGGAGACATCTTGTGTAAGGTGTAGAGTCAGGGAGACATGTGTAAGGTGTAGAGTCAGGGAGACATCTTATGTAAGGTGTAGAGTCAGGGAGACATGTGTAAGGTGTAGAGTCAGGGAGACATCTTATGTAAGGTGTAGAGTCAGGGAGACATGTGTAAGGTGTAGAGTCAGGGAGACATCTTGTGTAAGGTGTAGAGTCAGGGAGACATGTGTAAGGTGTAGAGTCAGGGAGACATCTGGTGTAAGGTGCAGAGTCAGGGAGACATCTTATATAAGGTGCAGAGTCAGGGAGACATTTTGTGTAAGGTGCAGAAGAATCAGGGAGACATTTTGTGTAAGGTGTAGAGTCAGGGAGACATCTTGTGTAAGGTGTAGAGTCAGGGAGACATCTTGTGTAAGGTTCAGAGTCATGGAGACATGACAGGTAGTGATAAGAGTAGTTAGCACCATTTTGTGTTATTTATTTACTGCCGTCTGTAGGCTGTAAAATTTGTTTCTTTGAGATTGGGGTTATTTTTGTGGTTTTAACAAAACCTTGAAACAAAATGGATGTGGTTTTTACAGGAGTCATAAAATGGGCTATTGTTTTACTCAAAGTTATGGGGTGGGCTTATTATAAGGATATAATAGTTGGCAATTTTACCAAACAGCATTATATATTGATGGACTTAATACCAGACATTGGCTTATCGTCAGATGAATATCATAGTGATGTCACACAAGTTCCAAACTAATTGATAATTTTTGTTGGTAGGTCTTCCATCACTGAACACCACTGTCCGTACTGCAGTAGATAAAGTTCATGAGGCTAAGCTTGAGCAGAGGAGACGAGAGAAAATACAAGATTCTCACATAACATCTACATCCTTTACAACTATCAACCTGGACCCTTTATCACAGGAAGAAATGAAGGCAAAAGAGGAAACTTGCCGTCTGCTTGAATCTGTCAAAACAGAACGTCGTGAATCACAAAAATTTGATCAATATCTTCAAAGAGTTTTGAATGAATTTGACACAGATAGTCCAGATGAAACATTTAGCAGAAGTAGCCCATTGTTTCTTAACTCTAATTATATGGCTCTTCCTGAAGTTCTGGATGCCTCTGGAATCGAACCATCAGTGTTTGCAGACTGTGTTACTCCTCAGCGACCCCCTTTATCAGACCAATCCAGACTTTCTGCCTTTAAGCTCCTTGATTCGTCAATTTCTAAGGAGTCAGCTTTAGCAAGTGTTGAGACTGGCGGCGTGTCGGACAAATTGTCAAAACTGAAGGAAGAAATAAAGCTGTATAGGAGGTCTAGTGATATATTGGAACAGAAACTTCAACTTTTGATCGATGAAGGATTGTAGAAAATCAGTGTGTGACTTTCAGTTATCTTCATCACAAGAATCAAACATTATGTTGGCCTGTTATCAGTCAAGTGTCTCACAGACGACTTCAAGAAAGTTTCTGTTTATAAGTTATTGTATATACATGAATTACACAATGTATTCACTTGTTTTTGGAGAAAATGAAGTGTTAGAATGATTATGTGTAACAGAGCACTTAAAGGAAATGATGATATAAGTATATCATTCACTAAAAAGTAAAACTTCATTGAAATACAAATTGTATCTGGTTCTTTATATGAAAATATCTTCTTTGACATGTTTGAAAGTGCATTCTTGAGATTGCAAGTAGAACATCCAAGTGACTTTTACAGCACATTCTGTACTGTCTTCCTAAAACATGAAGTTGCTTTTCATGCCGGAAAAGGGTCAGTGTTGCAGTAAATGACAATATTTCTGTTCAAAGGTCAGTGCTGCTGATAATATTTAAAAGGACAATGTTATTGTTGAAAGTTCAAAGGTCATTGTTACTATTTATAGTTCAAAGGGGATTGTGTAAGTTGCACATAGCCTATTACAGCACCTGTCATGGTGCAGTGTTTATTGTGAACCTGTAAACAATTGACCAGTTTAGCATCATCTCTAAATCCTGAATCAATTCTGGTTAAATATTGCTGGATACAGACAGTTAAATGTTACGTGTGTCAGATACAGACAGATAAATATTACGTGTTTGAGATACAGACAGATAAATATTACGTGTGTCAGATACAGACAGATAAATATTACGTGTGTCAGATACAGACATAAATATTACGTGTTTGAGATACAGACAGATAAATATTACGTGTGTCAGATACAGACATAAATATTACGTGTTTGAGTTACAGACAGATAAATATTACGTGTTTGAGATACAGACAGATAAATATTACGAGTGTCAGATACAGACAGATAAATATTACGTGTTTGAGATACTGACAGATAAATATTACGTGTGTCAGATACAGACATAAATATTACGTGTTTGAGTTACAGACAGATAAATATTACGTGTTTGAGATACAGACAGATAAATATTACGTGTCAGATACAGACAGATAAATATTACGAGTGTCAGATACAGACAGATAAATATTACGTGTTTGAGATACTGACAGATAAATATTACGTGAGTCAGATACAGACATAAATATTACGTGTGTTAGATAGAGTGGAGTACATGCCTAGATTATGGTTTACAGATATGTTAAAACAGGGATATAGTTCCAGTATCACGTGTGATCCCGAGGGATATAGGTCCGGTATCACGTGTGATCCCGAGGGATATAGTTCCAGTATCACGTGTGATCCCGAGGGATATAGGTCTGGTATCACGTGTGATCCCGAGAGATATAGCTCCGGTATCACGTGTGATCCCGAGGGATATAGCTCCGGCATAGCGTGTGATCCCGAGGGATATAGCTCCGTTATCACGTGTTATCCCGAGGGATATAGCTCCGGTATCACGTGTTATCCCGAGGGATATAGCTCCGGTATCACGTGTTATCACGAGGGATATAGCTCCGGTATCACGTGTGATCCCGAGGGATATAGCTCCGGTATCACGTGCGATTAACAACAAAGAAAAAAAATAAACATTAAGCAAAGACCTAGGAGTTAAATAAATGGGTATATCCTCAAGCACTGATCTCTGCTCTCTTGGGATTCAAATAAACTTTTGGTAAAAATAACATCTTGATATAATGTTGAATACTTCGAAAAAAGTTTAGCAGTACACATGTACCAGTGTCAGACTTATTTCACCTTGTCGGTTGGTATCATCTGTTCCGCTGGAGTATCGTGTTAAAGAAACCTATCTTACTAAAATGTCCTTCTTCTATTGTCCTTTTTCTCTATTACCTCTAATCCTCCAGTTAGAGGGCGGAATACGCTTACTATCGCTGTCATGTCGTGTCGTTTAACCTTAGTTTATTGTGATAATTCCACAAAGAAAACATCTTATGTTGTCAAATTATACGATGACTGTTTTTCTTTAAAATATAGGTTATTATGACCTGACGTTTTAATTATTGGTTTTGACATAGACGTTACATAAACACCACCTGTCATTGGCCTTTGCTATTTTACACCCTACTGGAAAGCTGACAATGTTAACTTACATTGAACCCAGCTAACTTATACTCGGCTCAGGTGCCATGTATTTCAAATAACAAAACGTAGAAAGCATTTCTAAATATATTTTACAGTTTCGCGCGACTCGAATTTCGGTGTTTAAAAAAACAAACACAAACAAACAATACAACTGTCAAAATAAATAAATAAATGAATAAATAAACTAGGTATTAAGATTTAAATGACAGTCGCCAAATCCAGAGGAAAAGCAGGGAAAACCGCGAAACAATTACGATTTTACATTATTCTACCTATTACGATATTTCGTCCATTTGAGGGAGAAAGTGATACTATACTTATCAAATTGTTCTATATCACCAATCTCTCGTCCGTTCCTGGTACATATGTTTTCTAACAAAGTATCCCGTCCAAATTTTCAAGAAATTATCCACAGAAAGGTTTTGAAGAAAAGCGTTGCTCTGAAAATATCTCAATTCTGACAAGCATAGCCATTTCACTGAGTTAGCTCCCTTTGGTCACCGTCGGAGATGTGGATCATAACAAGTTATCTGGTGAGATTGTCCATAAGCTTTTTGGCACTCACTGCATTTGATGAAATCCAAGTGATTGACTTTTAATAAACTTTCTTTAAATGAAATTTAAACAAACAGTGTTATTTATTTAACATTATTTTTTTCCACTGTAACATTTTCTATTGTAAATATGTACTAGGAGCATTCTCCTGAGCCCGAATTATCTCCTATTTTGACCCGATACTCGATGATTGAAAATGCTGGATAGATTGTCAGTGAAACAGTATGTTACACATCAACATATATCACTGTATCGAAGAGTGAAACGATCTCAAAAAAGAAAATCCAGGAATGAATGTTTGGGCATTATGTAGACGGATATGATTAGTGCAGATTAACGAACCCTAACCAATAATATGTAACTCATCTCATCAAAATTTCTATATAATAAGTGGGTTTAATCTCATACCACGAAGATAGAAACTGATCTAAGATAGCCGTCTGTGTTTTAACACCTGGTGTTTTACGGTCGAATCCTGACTTCCGATAGGCCCACTTAAGCTAAGTGTATTACTGTGAAAACCCTTGATCCTCTTGACTTTCCACGTCAGGCCAGATCAAGTTAAATATTAGGTGATTAACACGAGTTTCACACTGTGATTTCCGTCGACAATTTTCTTATAATTCCTTGTTAAGGAATGTGCTTTGTAAACATCGTGAAACAATGTAGAATTTATATTGATTGATTAAAAACAGAGGACTGAAGAAAGGTCGTAAAATTTAGGACGAGAACAACACGCTAAATAGAACCAAGGAGAGAGCGATGAAAAATAGCGAAACAAAAGAGAAAGCAACATGTCGAAGTTCAAGGTAATGGATACAAGTCTCTCAGTGTAGTTGGTAAGCTCTGGATATTTAATAAAATGGTAGATAAACGACAGTTTTTTCTTTTGAAAAAACTCCCTTTTCTTCAAAGGATGATAAGTGAATGGTATTCAGTGACAATTGAACAAAGCGAACTACACCAACAAATATCACTAATGAATGCGTACACACTTAAGACACAACAAAGTATATTTTATGTATACGTTTTATAACTGATGTAATTACATTAACTTTAAGATTAAAATAATTCAATGATGATGGTGGTTGATTATTAAAGAGAACGATACTTAATTTACTTAAGTTACATTGACATTTTCAGTGTATAATTATTATATCTGGATCATCATGATGTCTAGCGGAAGTTTGTGTGACTTCATGTGTGGTCGTGTTGTAAAACAGCCTAGCTGACACCTTCATAACATAATTGGTCCGATGTTTCGTGTGGGTTAAGTTGCGTCAATTATGCAGAAAAAAGACATTGAGATTTGGAGTGTGAGATGTGCTCCAACTTGTCCATTTAAACTCGGCTGTTTTATTTCTAGTATGGTTTCCATGAAAACTGTATTTTTGTGGAACGTATAAGACAAATATGAAGCTATATGTAAATGATTTTAATTTTATAAATTAGAAATACAAAATGCATGTAAATTAAAGAAAGAAAAAAATTCCAATGAAAGGGGATATGACAATTGAATAACGTGACCCATATCCCCGTTTGTTCTAGTTAACTGTGACGTGACCCAGGTCTAGAGAGAGAGAGAGAGAGAGAGAGAGAGAGAGAGAGAGGATTCAATTGAGGATTCGATCCATGCACCTTTGGAGTCGAGAACGGAGAGCTTATCACTGTGCTATCGTTACGTTACACATAACAGAGTGAAAATTTAGGAATCTTATTAAGTATGTAGTTTTCTCCATCTATTAAACATATTTTGTGTATGTGTGAAATGTGTAAAACATGTGTCAGGAAAAACAAAGATGACAATGATAGTATATTAATGACTGATTATGCTAAAATGCCAAAAAAATCAAATATCTCCATATCAACAAGCACTGCACCCCTACTCTTACACTAAAAATCACCCAAATAATATACATTACACAAGTCTGATATTTTATTGAGGAAACAAAGTAACTATTCGCTAGTTTTTTTCTGTAAATGTACGTTAAATGTCGTACGACATAAAACGTGCTTTACACTGTAAGATGACGCCTGCAGTATTTGTTTCATATTTTCTATGAATAATGTATAATCGTTAAAAAGCTCATCTTGGAATCAAACATGATTACTGGTTAGTCATACATCAGTCAATGAAAAATAAACAAGTTCATTGTAACATTTTACTGCGTTGCGATGATAAAACCTTAGTAAGTCCGCTTTTCTCGATATTCCAATCACCAGCACATTAAAATCGAATTCATCTAGTCCGTGTTGATTATTTACATAATAAGTAGATCTTGATCAAGCGTAACTCGAAAATATCGGGAAAATCAAATTTGCATATTTAAATAACTCATTTAAATATGTCGTCAAATTTGGACACAGTGACGTTTAAAGGCCCCATTTGTTTAAAGCAAAGACACGCCCACCATCCTACCTTTGGTGCATTTCTTATATTGATGTCATGACGTCGTCTATGTGGTTTTAGAGTCATTTGCATACATGGTACTGTTTCAATTAAAATTCAATGCAACGAATAAAATCAACCTGTTAGGAGGTATTCATGTTTAAAATAACCAACTACGTAGGAATATTTTCGCGAAAAAAATGAAATATGGTGAGATTTTGAAGCTATTATGCTCTGGTGTTACGGGTCTCTTTCACATACGTTCTATATACGTTACCTATCCCGTGATACCTAATGATAGCATGTAAAAATAATAAAATAAAATTAGTTAAACGGAGGTGAAGACCGAAATTCATTACCACAATTTACAAAATGCAACGCCCGACATTAGTTCAATGTCTGATTTCATTGGTATTCTGAAATGAGTGCATTTGAAATGAATAGATTTGAAACACAGCGATTAAGGTTTGTCCTGTTGAGTATATACCGAATACAAGAGCGTCCTCAATACGTCTTCAAAAACGAAGCCAAGTGTGATTTTCCTGTCAAGCATGGGTTGTCACATGAACAAAGCTCCTTGAAAGAGTGATCCGCTTGTACCCATTCCTAATCGCTTCTATAAATGCGGTCGTGCCATGTGCGGTACGGTATACTGAGGTTATGTACAGTGTTAGGGTTTCTTATGAGCACACGTTAACTTTGTCTTTATTTTATGGTATTTATGAATGAGTTTTCGTTATTGTCTGTGCAAAAAGTTTATCGATATGAAAATGCTGATTACAAAATATTCTGTCTTTAATTCGTTTATTTAACTTTTGATCATTTGTTGTAAATTGCATCCTGTCGATAAAGTGTATGATCTAGGGCCCCTTAGTATGAATGTCAAGGTTATATAACTCAGATTGGTCTATATAGACATGTTTGATATAACCTCGAGAAATACGTGATCATGACAGGTATTTTTTTCAGCTAATACGAATAGACTTCTCGGACAGTGGAAGAAAGTCGGTATGTATCCAGTTTCGAACAAACATAATAATGCAATTTATATCAAATGATATCTTAAGTGGAAATAAAGAGAGAGAGGGGGGGGGGGGGTGGGGGGGGGGGGGGGGGGGGGGGGGGGGGGGGTCGGGTGTGGGTGTGGGGGTTACCTATTGATCATATCGTTATGTATTGATATTTGTTGTCAAAGTCCTCTCAGCTAACCACTGCAACCATACTGGTGCTTTTGCAGCCAATGGCAACATTGCAACGAATTCACAATAAATATTTCATTTTCTTTCCCAGAAAACTTTTCGATTTGTATTTTGGACTGAAATATTGCAAGTGTGTAAAAACCGGTAGCCATTTTTTGTTTATGGAATTATTAGGTCCGTATGTTAGATACTGTGTGAATTCAATTAACCTTTTAACACCTGTATTTAGTGTGAACACCTGGCAGTATGAAGTGAGAAGTCTTTATATCCATAGATATGACGTCACACGTGTTTATCACTAACCGTGACACTTAACTCTCA